TTTTTTCATGATCCATAAAAAGATTTTCAGACAGAGCATTTCATATCTAGGCAGAAGGCATTGAGATATTGAGTTTTCATTATTGTCCCAGAGTTTCTAAATACAATGCAGAAAATCCAACAACCATATTTGGATTAAACTGGTACACCATTCTGAAGAAAACAAATAACACATATTCGCTGTTTACACCTCAATCACCACCAAAGTACCTCATAAGATATATTTCTGTCATATCTTAATTCAAATAATTTATTTAGGGAAAGGAAACAAAAGAGTTGGGAATTTCAAATTCTTGTTTTTTTTTCATTTCTGGAGCCCAGTTAGTACAAAAGTCTATATTGAACAAGACTCAGTTTCTTTATTTGTCGTTCCTCGTTTGTAAGATTAATAAATATCACTCTTGTACAACAGAGCGTTTTAGGGAAGTGTTTTATCAAATAGCAAATGTTATTGAATCCCAAGGAAATATGAAAAGACCACTGACAAAATCATGAAAATATATTTAACAACAAATGAAAATGCCTTCACTGGTCTCTTTCAAATTCTGTTTGATTGCCATATAATCGTCATACACCATTGTTTCGTTCATTCAGCTATCAATTTTATTTGTAAACAAATTTGTTGCTGGTGCTGTGACTATTGACTCTGGTAGGGTGTTCCATAGCTTCATAATTCTTAAAGTGAAAGCGTCCGTCTGTCTCCCTCCCTATTTCTCTCTGTGGATATATTTTTACACTGTTTTCTCTTACCCCTGTCCTCGTAGACATTATCCTTCCATAGTTTAACGAATGGTGCTGCTTATAAATGTCATATTTCTCATTCAGTATTTAACATACATGCATGTTTAATTCCATAATTTCACTGCAGACTGTTGAAAAACTTAATGGTGGACGTTTTTATTTCGTTTTTATTTTGGGGTGTATTCAAAGTTCTTCCATTGTTTTGTGACCTGGCGCTGCGCTTCATTGTTTACGGATGCCACGCAGAGCTTGCAGTGTAAACTGAGGAGTCTTGTATAATGATACAAAGTATCAGGATATATGTGAACTGCCGCGTAATGAGAAAATACATAAATAGAAATGAAGCTCACTAAATAATTAAAATTTTGGTGACTATGTTGAACGCATTTATCCCATTGAACTTGAAATAATGGATATCGCAGATATAGTTAAGTTAGCCTCATATCTTGACCTACATCTAAAACTTGACAATGAGGATCGATTGAGAACAAAACTTTACCACAAAAGGAATGATTTCAGCTTCCCAATTGTGAACTTTCCCTTTCTATTTTACAACATTCCAACAGCGCCTGTATATGGAGTATAAGATTGAGAATGGAAATGGGGAATATGTCAAAGAGACAACAACCCTACCAAAGAGCAGACAACAGCCGAAGGCCACCAATGGGTCTACAATGCAGCGAGAAAATCCCGCACCCGCAGCTGGCCCCTAAATAAAATTGTGTGCTAGTTCAGTGAAAATGGACGTCACACTAAACTCCAAAACATATAAATGAACTAAAACTAAAAAACAAAGGACTACTAGCAGTTATGACATGCCAGCTCCAGACCTCAATTAAACTGATTGAAAGATTATGTCTTCATCATATGAAAATCAAGTACAATCCCTCTCGTTAGGGGTTTAGTATCATACCATCATAAAATATAGGAGAAGAACATAACCCGTATCATGCCAACAACTGGTTTTAAAATAAATGTGTTTATTTCCGATGCAAAGACCCTATGAGTGAATCAATATTAATACCAAAATATGCAATCCTTAATGACTTGACAACAGTATCGTAACTATATCCTTTCCGAATAAGTCTGTTTAAAGGTTTGGTTAGCTTTTGAGGTGAATGCCGACATTTTTGTGCTTTGTAAAGAATATTACCATAAAATATTGGATGTGAAATACCTGAACGTATAAGATGTCTGCATGTTGATTTATATTTATATGAATTGGTATGAATTGGTTGACCGTTGTGTAACATGTGTCACAGATGACCACTGATATGTTCCAATTGTCATACCCACATTAATTCCGTCAATTTTTCCTAAATTGTGACATTATAGAATGAGACCTATCACCGACTTTGTTCTTACCATCGGCAACATGATGGATGCCATTAGTGGAGCAGGATCTGCTTACCCTTTCGGGGCAACTGAGATCACCACTAGTGGAGCAGGATCTGCTTACTTTTCCGGGGCAGCTGAGATCACCACTATAGTGTTTGGTGGGGTTCGTGTTGCTCAGTTTGTAGTTTTGTCTCCCCTCGACAAAGTCGAAAAAGTGGGACTTGGACATGCTGTTTCCTTTGGCGTCAACGATATATTAGTTTGTAACAATATATTTTTAAGGAGTATCACTAGTGGTAGGTCAATGATATTTGGTATGCAGTTGTACTAGCATTGGCACATCTTATTTCCTTGGAGGATATTTTGCCCTGTCCACCCAGTCGTGGTTTATTTACTATAAAAATAAGGAGATGTGGTATGATTGCCAATGAGACAACTATCCACCAGCGTTCAAATAGCTCAAATGAAGTGGATGTAAGCAACATTCAATTTGTATGTTCAAATTTGTGTTTCGATCAGTTTAAGAAGTGGTAGGTCAATGGTACTTGGTTTGCAATTTTATAAACATTGGTACATCTTATTTCCATGGAGATAATAAGGCCACTGTCCCTGAGTCATGGTCTATTGACTTTGAAGTTTTTGCATAGTTTACGATTAGGTCAGTTTATGATGAACCACTAATGGTAAGTCAATGGTATTTGATATGCAGTTGTATTAACATTGGCATTTCTTATTTCCATGGAGTTATTTGGCCCTGTACCTTCAGTAATGGTTCCTTCACTAGTTTACACTGTTCAAGTGTTGCCATTTTATCTATTTAGTGTTTTGATGACTTCTTTTCGTCGTCTTTGGTCTGTTACCATGGTTTTGTCAGTTTCTCTTCAACTCCTGAGATTTGAAAGTCTCCTTTATATCTTCCGACTCTTTTTTTTACCTTCAGTCATCCCACAGTGTTCGAAGTATATCGATCCAAGCATCCGAAAGATATATATCAAAAAGAAATAATAAAACAAGAAACATAGTTTCGTATTCAGTAGAAGTTCTCCTCGTGACCAGAATTGATTTATATTACAACAATAACCGAAAAATAAGTATTGCAGACAGCAACCCATTATATCAACTAGGTTACAGAAGAATGTGGCAGAGTTAAATCATGAACCGAGGTGTAACAACACAATATAAACAAAGTGGAAAAATTAAAAGGGCTTAGCTCATTATAGTGTTCACATATCCAGCGTTTTTATAACTTTACAACCCATTGACGTAAAACAAGCAGAAATATAGTTTTCTGTCATACATTTTGTCCCTCATTTAATCACTAGTAGTATGGCAGCCGAATGCCGCGCCATTTCACGCCTCCGCCTTTGACGATATAATGAAAGATAACGCGAAACGAAAACCATTCCGGCGTTTTCGCTTTATGATATATCTAAGGCGAAAACGCGACATGTCCACATCTGAGGGACAGAATATTGGTAATATATTAATAATACTGATTACAAAAGTGAATGATGTACAGATAAAAGAAATAATATTATTTCAGAAAAATTTAATAATAATCTTTTTCATAAGAACCTTACTGAATAAGCGTTATTTCCAAAGATAGAGAAAAATGCTAAAAAAAATAAAGAATACAGAAATTGAGGACCCTCATCCAGACCCTAAAATTTAGCCACCATAACATTGTGGTGATGTGTGCTTATTCCCACTACTTGTTCTGTAAGCGTAAGTAGTGATGGGTTTGTTGAAGATAACCAGTATTTTATTACCTAATTCATTTATTTTCCGGTTATTTTTTTTATATTTTTGCACCACATTCTCTATTCTTTATTTATTTCCTCATTTTTCTCTATTCATTATTTTTAGTCCTGAATATTTATCAGATTCTGATCCTTGATAGTGTCTTAAATACTCCATCCTCCTTACCAGTTCTTTCATAAAAGCTCTTGATTTTTTGTATTCAGCTTTATCATGCTTGTTTAATAGTCTACTTGAAGAAGATTCGTCGTTTGGTAAATATGGTTGCAGTCTTGTAATTTACTGCTCCATAGATTTACATGCAAACTGAACAGCTGAACTTTGAAATTAAAAAAAAAAAATGCTTCATAGAATTTTTTTTTCATGTACATTTTATGTATGTAGTAATGTGAAATTGTGATTTAAGGAAAAATAAAAGAAGAATGTGTCTGAGAACACGAATGCCCCCGCTCAAGCTTCAAACAAACCAAATGATGGGACGGACGGCAAGACGGAAAAAATACAGTGGAGGCATAAAACGTGCCTTATGCCACAAAGAATAAAAAGCTATGAATCCCTAATGTCAAAACTACTTTTTTCTACTTTCTTTTTGCTGTTTTGACAGGTTCGCACCACTTCCAGTAAACATTATATCCTTCCACTTTCCTTGTTTGATATCCCAAAAAGATGCAACATTTTTTTTTAAATCTAAAAGGATGTTACAATTCAACATAAACTTTTAATCAAACAGAAAAAAATGAGTCCAGAAAAAATGGACTATTTATTTCACTCCATGTTTTACTTTACAGAGTTCTTCCATCCTGTTTTTTTTTTTTTATTATTCATGTTATTTAAAAAAAAAAATTTTAGATTAAAGCATTGTTTACTGTTATTGTTTATTTCCATCTATATCAGTGTTTTTTCATAAATTATAAATCTATTTAAAGTAAAACAAAACAAAATCAAATCCGTTGGCTGAATAACAAGTTTTAATTGCAAATTTGTCAACCGCTAATTTTGACAGTTATTTCTAATCTTTAAGTTTTCTCTAATTAACTTAATTAAATCAATACCTTGATAAACATTTATTAATTATTCTGTTTTAATTAGAAGAGTGAGTGATGTCCGTACTGAAAACAGAGTTAATGATGTCTCCCTACTAGTTGTCAATACCAACGGAAGTAAATAAAATCCAATTAGTGCATGTCTGAACGAAAACTTGATCGATATATAATACATTGACAGGTGTTTATACCCAAACTTACATTGGTGTTTTAGAATATAAGGTAAGGACTGTTATTTTATTTTATTTATATACAGCAATTTAACATAACGATTTTTGTAGTATAATCATAAATTATTTAAAACGTATGCACCGTCACTTGGGTAAAGTGTAAAATTTTCGGTTTGTTACAGGCGGGAACAACACATCAAAACAAAAATGGCAGCGACCGGTAGAATGAACCATGAATTAAAAAGAAAAGCCAAAGAAGCAGAGAAAAATTGCAGTGATCCTGTTGAATTGTTAAGATGTAAATGTTTACAAAGAGGTGCAAGTGGTATAAAAGGACTAGCACGGTATGTATTTACAGTATTGAAATCATGTTAGTTCCTGCAATCTAAAACTAACAAGAATGTAAAATTGAGATGATGACATTGAAACACAGAATTGCACATATTGATTACAATGAAATAAGAAAAGTGACCTGGTACAACAATGTTGTCATAATAATTACATAGTGTTATAATTGTGACAGGCGTTTCGGGTATGGACCCCCTTTTTTGTGTAACATCTCTTTTAAATAAATTTATTTAATCTCATATTGTGGCAACCTATAAATGAAAAGCTTTTGCACCTCTGTAAGAGTTATCTCCCTAAACGTGCATGTAATATTTTCTGCTGGATGTTAAACAGCCATCAATCAATAATATAAGATATATCATATCTCTGACTAATATATATATAGAATAATGGCATTTTGGTGTTTGATGCTGACTTTATCATTAAGAATATCAAGCAAGCTCACAAGGGCAAGCTGAAATTCGAGCTGATGAAGTCCGTATCAAAAAAATAAAAAACCATTGTTCTTTATATATGGATGATTTAGTCTTAACATTATGTTTTTGGGTTGAGAATATGAAATACAATGAAATGATTAGTAAAAACTGTGATAGTTGGGCAGTTGTTTCAATGAATTCTTGTGCATTTCATTTGTAAATTGGTGCAGATGGACATGAATGTGTGACGTTGCTGCACTGTAACATGGCATCATTGCCTTATATTTTTGAGTATCAGGTCCTGTCAATGATATAGACAATTATTAGGCAGTGAGATCAAATGTAAAATTAGCAATAAACATGCAGATTTTGTCAGTAGTACATGTGCAAATGAAATATGCAGGTAATTTAAATGAACTTACTGATCACACAAAGATCACAGAAAAAGATACACTTGTGAATTATTCAAGCTATGCTCTTTCCAAAGTGTTAACAATTTTTTTAATTTTATAAACAGAACATTCAAGATTTTTGATGATGATGGCAGTAGATCCCTTGATAAATCAGAATTCAGCAAAGGAATCCGAGATTATGGTATTGTTTTAGAGAGAGATGTTGTTGATCAAGCTTTTGATGCCTTAGACAAAGATCACAGTGGAAAACTGGATTTTGATGAATTTTTAATTGCTTTACGAGTAAGTTTATCTTTGAGAAAATTTTGTCAATTAGTATCCCCTGATTAAAAGTAAATAGTTTTATATGTATAATGTGGGATGCAATTTAGATGTCTGGTGCAATATGTTGTGATGACTTATTAGTTGGCTTCCAAGAAAACAATGAACAATAGGTTTTATATCTTCTATGCAGTGTAGGTTTTGCTTATTGTTGAAGGCCATACAGTGACCTAAAGTTGCTAACTTCTACATCATTTGGTCTCTGGTGGAGAGTTGTCTCATTGGCAATCATAGTACCACATCAAGTGTTATTTTTCTTTATATCTAATGCTTTGAGAGGCAAGATAAGAGAAAGATGTACAAAACTATAAAAGGATCAACGAAATATAATTTTTCCTGATTTTGTTGTAATAGCACTGTTTCTTGTCAATGACTAAAGCATTACCACAGAAAACATATTTAATGATATTCTATTTGAGATATTTTATTTTTGTAGCCAAAAATGAATGCTAGTAGAAAAGCTTTAGTGACACAAGCTTTTAACAAATTAGACAGAACAGGAGATAGTTTAATCACAACAGAAGATTTAAAAGGGGTATATAATGTAAAGAAACATCCTAAATACTTAAATGGAGAATGGACAGAAGATCAGTGCTTGCTTCAGTTTCTTGCATCATTTGATTCAGATGACAAAGATGGAAAGGTAATTATTCACAATTCATGTTGAGGGAGGGGATGTAGTAAACCCAGTGAAAAATCACCATGGAAAATTTCTCATGTCCTGAATGATCTAGATTACATTCTCCCTAATTAAGGATATTCATTTGGATGTTCTTACAAAACATACCAACTTGTTCTGACCAGTAAATCTGAATCAGCGAATTTAACTTTGTTTCTGGTTATGAAATGTTCATTATGGTATTTTGACTTTATGAATATCTATGGTGTTTTGTTACTGGGTGTATGGCTAGGAGTATCAGTCACCATATGTTTTTTTATCCTATAGTTAAAAGAAATAGATGGACCTTTACTTATCACTTATAGTACAATAAATGTTTTTTTTTATTCTAAATTTTCATCAATATTCTTACGCTGATCTTGTTTGTATGGCTTATTATATTTTTGGTTTTCTTTTTATACATTTATTATTTTTTTTTCATTTATGATGGGAAGGGAGGGGTATGAACACAGACCCAAAAGGAGGTCTTCAAAATTTTTAAATTGTTTCTAGACAAACACTGTTGTAATTAACCTTTATACAACTGATACTAAAACTATCAATGTAAGCAACATTGAAATGATCAATTTCTTTAGAAAAATACCCACTGAAGCAGCTGTTGAAAAATTGAAGTTTTAAATCCATGATTCAAAATGTACTTACTGTGTTATAGATTTTTATAGATACTTGTAATAACTGTACATGTGTTGTAAGATACTTAATTATACCTTAGTGTAACAACATATTTTCCACAGGGGTTGTGGCAAAGGATTTTATCAGAATCAACAGGGTTTTTTTTCTTTCTGGAAAATCATTACAGTAAGACCTAGGTAATTCCAACCTAGATTTCGTTTTTCTGTTGCTGATTTACTAGTGACTAAAGTTTTCAGATCAGTTTTAAGTGTAGTAAAGGTAAACATTATTTGGCTTGGGGTTTATTCAGTGGCATATTCAGGGGTCAGGAGATTGGATTCATTCCTTCTTGATCCAAATTTTCACAACTTTTTCTCATTCATAAATGAGTTGTAACCACTGTAGCCAATATGGTAGCACATTAACACAATGTATGGGTATGGTTATATACAACAAATAAAATTGAGAATGGAAAGTTTGCATGCACATTATAGCAATATGAAAATTAAGAATACAAAAATTAAATAAAAGACTGGGATGTACATTTTCTACAGATGATATTGTGTTAATGTCTTCCTTGCCAATCTCATGATCCTTTTTTTTTCAAAAGTTTTTTTTTCACTTTAAAGAATATATAAAGAGTTACTTCCCATTTGTAATTTTTTAAATACCAATTCTTATATCAAGCTTTTCAATATTTTATTTCATTTTTTTCAACCAAGGTTGAAATAAACCATTGTACAATCCAGTCAGCATGAATGTTGTATCTACTCCTATTCCTTGCATGTTGCAATTTTTATATTTATGCTTATTCTACAACACTTTATTTACAGATCACAAGAGATGAATTTGACAATTATTATGCTGGAGTTTCAGCATCCGTAGATAGCGACGCCTACTTTTCATTAATGATGACAAATGCTTGGAAACTGTGAACACTGCCCCTTGCACATAGACATCTGTTTACTGTTTAGTTATTAGCAGCAGATTCTCAAATCATCAAATAATGTTACATATTTATTTAAAATATTCAGATTGTTTTAAAAAGCTCAAAGTTTTATCACAATTTGTATATATTTTATTATTTATAATTTTTATTTATAAATTTTATATACTGTAAATATTAGTTTTTATAGACATCTCTGTTAAGTACCTTTTTAATGGATATTTGAGAATCTGTTTTACGTAGAGAAGAATCCTGCTATGATTAGAAAACAAAAGTGCAGTATCATCAGTGACAATGGTGACAGCAAATACGCACCGGTGGACAAATGCACGTTTAGTTTGTTAACAAAACATCCATTTATTTACCATGTTACATTAAATTATATCATCAAAGGTCACTTTTTATTTTATTCACTGATTTATTTATCTATCATGTTGGTGACCCTTGGAATATGTTGTTCTTGAGCATAATTTTCCAAGAGTTACTGACAATGTTTCACAACACACTTTCAAAATCACAAAGCACAAACACTACTTGCCAATGACACTCTTTCCTTCCCACATGGTTGATATATATGTCAAATCAAAGTGAACATACATATTGATAGTGTGAGTATTGTGATGCTTATCCCCTGCTTTCTATGATTTGCTTAACTTAATTTTAGCTTTTAGGTCTTGCTATGTTGTTCTAGTCTAGTTGTTTAACAAAACGTGAAAATTGCTTGTCCTAAAGAACTATCTATCCAGATTGTTGTGATCGATGACAAGTATTATTTCTAGGTATATATATGCAAGTGCATGTGTAAAGGGCCCTTTGAATATATATTTATAACATACACTGTAATTACTCATTTTGAATCGCCCTACTCAGCTAGCTCTTTTTCAACAATTACTATACCTTCTGCTTTAGTGACGTGTTGAGTATAAATGTTGAGTCAATTTGTTTATTTGTCAGGTTCACCTCTTCTGAAGCCAACATCTGATATAAAATGAAACTTTCAGAGTATCTTAAGTATTGTGTGATGTTGTGTACATACCAGTTTTAAAAGGGATTTAAACTTTATTAGCAAAAATAATGCAGGAATTTGCTGGATTATCCAGATTCTGACATATTTTGTCCTTCCTTTTTTCTGAGCAAAATGTTGAATTTTTCCTTATTTCTAGATTTTGACACCTTCTGTACTTCCACTCATGAAATCCTTATTTGGCATATGCTTTACTTTAAAAGTTTAAATCATAATGGATTTTAGTTGTCATTTTGGGGCACTTTATACCTTACTTTACGGCATAGGTTATAGTCATTGTTGAAGGCTGTACAGTGACATATAGTTGTGTAAATTCTTGACCTGTGTTGAACTGTTCTCTGGTAGATAGTTCCTTCATTGGCAATCATATATCACATCTCATGACCCTTCTATCAGAGGCAGGGCATACAAATTGATGTTCCGATTTACCAAATTAAGTCACAATTAGGTTATACATGTAATTTCAGTAAAAAATATTGATACCGGCATTTGACCCAAGTATTTAATACAGATTGGTGACAGTGCATGTTAGTCAGCTGAGTCACTGGATATAATTATAATAAATACTTCAGAACTAGTTTCAAGGGTATTTTTCAAGTGCAGATAATTTTGTATTTAGTTCACTCATTAACCCATGTCAACCATAACTTGTACAAAGTGTATTATCAAGTAAAAAAACACTGACAAAAACACTTAACTAAAAAAATATGAACAAATGAGAGAAATGGAAAATCCCTGGCTTAGTACAGGAACTGCCCATTACAATATGATATTGGTCCAATTGTGTGAAAGGTTCCATCAATTGAAACTTGTTAGATCAAACAAAAGATATTGCCTGGACTTCACTTTCATGTAGTCCAGCTATTTTGTTTTAATAGAGGTCTGGTTTTATGCATGACAGGTTGAAACTATTAAGAAATGGAATACATATCTGTCAGATCATTTAAAACATTAATGATCAACTTAAGTATTTAGATTTAGACCTATTTCTCAGAAGCCAGAATGTGTACGGAGTGAATGTTCATCTGACAGGTGACAGACCTTTATTTTTATTTGCCCGATATATCCCTTGAACAACTCAAAATAATGATGTACATACACATATATGTATTGACTGGACTACATTTAAAACATTCTAGAACAAATAGTTAGCATGTGCATGACATATAATATACTATATATATTACTAAAAGCATTTCTTTTGTCATAAAAAAATGTTTATAGTATCAATAACAATCCTTGGTATAAAACTTTGTGTAAGTGCTGTATAACCAGTATTAGAACAGAAAGGCTAGTCTGTAGTCTTAAGGTACAAAACATTTAGTTTCTTTTACTACTAGCAATGGCTTTTTCTGTCAAAAAATAGATTTCAGACATTACACTCAAACTGTTTTTTTACAATGGCAATTCAGGGATATCAGATGCAACTCGCAGGGTTTATCACCATGACAATTCAGGGTATCAAAGGATTTATCACCATGGCAATAAAGGGATATCAGATGCTACTCTCAAAAGGTTTATTACAAGGGCAAGGGTTTAGTTCAGTGACAATTCAGGAACATCATATGTGTTTATATCAGATGTTACTCTCGAAGGGTTTATCACCACGACAACTCAGGGATATCAGATGCTAGGCTCAAACACTTTATTACAATGGCAATTCAGGGATATACGATCAGTCTCGAAGACTTTATCACCATGACAATCAAGGGATATTAAATGCTACTCACAAAGGGTTAAATTCAGTGACAATTCAGGAACATCCTATGTTTTTTTCAAATGGTTAATTACAAAGGATATCAGATGCTACTGTCAAAGGGTTTATTACAAGGGCAATTTATGAATATCAGAAACTGTTTCAAGGGCTTATTGCAATAGCCTCTCTAAGGGTTAATGACAAAGGCAATTTAGAATAACTATATTCTGCTCTCAAGGTTTATCACCATAAATATTAAGGGATATCATATGCTAGTCTCAAAGTGTTTATTACAATGGGAATTCAGGGATATCAGACGACTACTCTCAAATAATGGTTAATTACAATGGAAATTCAGGGATATAAGATGCTACTCTCAAAGAGTTTATTACTAGGACTATTCAGGGATATCAATTGCTACTCTCAAAAGTATTATCACCATGACATTTCAGGGATATTAGATGCTTCTCTCAAATGGTTAATTACAATTGCAATCCAGGTATATCAGATGCTACTCTCAAAAGTATTATCACCATAACATTTCAGGGATATTTGATGCTTCTCTCAAATGGTTAATTACAATTGCAATTCATGGATATCATATGCTTCTCTTAAATGATTCATCACAATTGCAATCCAGGGTTATCAGATGCTACTCTCAAAGGGTTTGTCACCATGACAATTCAGGGATATGAGACGCTTCCCTCAAATGATTAATTACAATTGCAATTCAGGGATATCAGATGCTTCTCTTAAATGGTTCATTACAATTGCAATTCAGGGATATCATATGCTACTCTCAAAGGGCTATTTACAATCGTAATTAAAGGATATCTGATGCAAATCTCAAAGTGTTATTGCAATGGCAATTCAGGGATATTAGATACTACTCTCAGAGGGTTTATAACATTGGCAATTCAAGGATATATCAAATGCTACTCTCAAGTGTTTATTACAATGAACATTTAGGATAATGTGATGCTGCTCTCTTGGTCTCATTTCAATTGCAATTCAAGGATATACGATGCTACTTTCAAAAGTGTTTATTACAATGGCAATTCAGGGATATACGATGCTACACTCGAGGGGTTGATCACCATGACAATTAAGGGATATCAGATGCTACTTACAAACGGTTTAGTTCAGTGACAATTCAGGTACATCATAAGTGTTTATATCAAATGCAACTCTTGAAAGGTTTATCACCATGAAAATTCAGGGATGCTACTCTCAAAGTGTTTATTACAATGGCAATTCAGGGATATACGATGCTACTCTAGAAGGGATTATCACCATGACATTTCAGGGTCTCAAAGGGTGTATCACCATGGCAATTAAGGGATATCAGATGCTACTTAATAAGAGTTTAGTTCAGTGACATATCGGGAACATCATATGGTATTCTCAAATGGTTTATTACAAAGGCAGTCGAGGAATATCAGATGCTACTGTCAAAGGGTTTATTACAAGGGCAATTTAGGAATATAAGATGCTGTTTCAAGGGCTTATTGCAATTGCAATGATGAAGGGATATTAGATGCTACTCTCAAATGGTTCATAACAATGGATATTTAGGAATATCAGATTCTACTCTCAAGGTTTTTCCCCATAACAATTAAGGGATTTCAAAGTTTATTACAGTGAAAATTCAGGGATATTAGATGACTACTCTCAACGGGTTTATCACCATGAAAATTTAGGAACATCATATGCTACTCTCAAATAATGGTTCATTACAATAGAAATTTAGGGATATTAAATGCTACTCTCAAAGGTTTATTACAAGGGCAATTCATGGATATCAGATTCTACTCTCAAGTGGTTTATTACAATGGAAGTTTAGGAATATTGGTGGCTACTCTCAAAGGATTTTTACAAGGACAATTTAGAAATATCAAATGCTGTTTCAAGCGCTTATAAATTGCAATTGCAATTCAGGTATATTAGATGCTTCTCTCATATTATTTATTACAATAATTCAGGGATATCATGAAATTTGCTTTGTTTTTTATTCTATACGTTGTTTTACTTCCAAAATAGTAATTGTTAGTTAACTAGTCATATCTTCATTCCATGGCTAATACCCCATATCAGCCATATGTGACGTCACATGGCGTAATCAGCCTGGTGCGTTCGAACATCGGTAGTATATGATAAAACGATTAAAACATGTCCTTTTCCATATCGTCCCATATCGTGCATCGACTAACGTCTCGGGTGATACGAGGGTATGGGGATGATAGCCTGGCCGATATGGAAAAGGCCATGTAATAATCTGTATGTATATTTCTACTGCACTACATTTGTGATACGAATGCCCAGGCAGCATCATGAATGTTGTGGACATTAGAGGCAGTAGGTAACCTCAGGATTTTAATCATAAACAAATCCTTTGTGAACTACAGGAAGCTCGAATTATATCTGCAACTTGTCAACTATTAACCAACAATTACTATTTTGGAAGTAAAACAACGTATAAAATAAAAAACAAAGCAAATTTCATGAATTTCCTTAGTTAAAGGATTAATTATACCCTACTAAACGAAGTCCAACTTTGTTGTCGCCATGCTAGTATGTTCATTTTTGTCAGAATCTCTTCTTATTTGGATGGAGGCTTCCACTCATAAAAAACATGGATGAATTTGAAAATCAGAAGATCTGAAGTTGGGACAATTTTTAGTGAAGACGCCTGTTAAAAATTAAACATCCCACATATGAGTGTTCTAGTCCTTTATTTGTCATCAGATCCTCTTCAAATTTAGGTTTCCACGAATCAAAACCATGCACGAGTTTGACGATCAGATAAAATCTTAAATGTTGAACTTTCTCATCAAATTTTCTCTCACTAAAACTAAAGTAATATTATGTTAATGACACGACCCTAGAAAGGCTACATACACTTTCATATACATGTATTACTCAAACAAGAACATGCGTCGATAGGACAACATGCACAAGTCTCATGTTCAGTGAACCGCAACATCTGGGTCCAAACCTTAAATTGGATTTTATTTTAAAAAGTCAATATCATAATGAACATGAATATCAAGTTTCAATTTGTAACCACAACTTCATGGTAAAAATACTTTGAACCAAAACTTTAACTTGATATGGGACAGATGCAGAGACTAGAAAACATAATGCTCTCTATACTATTGTAGGCGCAGCATAAAAACATGAATCTTTATGCAAAGTTTGTAAGAGGGTTACTATGCAAAAATAAATATATAAGGTTAAAATCTGTATACAAATATCCAGTCTTTAATCTGGAAATGGAATAAACAAAATAGCCAGTAGAGTATAAAATCCAATCCATGTGACAACAACGGCAATTACTGGTTACTAAAAGATACACGTTTATTCATTTTTTGTACCTGTAGTTTTAGGAATCACAAAATGTGAAAAATTATGGTATAACGAAAACAAATCTTACATTTAGAGGACTTCCTTGTAAATAACACTTAAACAACACCAAACGTACGTTTTTTTTAATATACTGAAAGTCAATTACATGAATTAGACAATAGTGATCTCTGATTTTCAAAAAAAAAGAATGTTTATGTTTAAGCGTTTTTGGTGAAGAGCTCAGTAGTCAGTGCTTCGGTATTGACATGATTTTAAAAAGACATTTTTTTTTAATTCCCCATTCATAAGTTAAGAAATTATTAAGAGACTATAAGGTTCAAACATCCTCAGGCAAAGTTGACCTAAGATGAATTTGGCTTCTCTGTTTGGATTCTTATTGGTCATATATTTTTTTAATGTTTCAGCGTATTTACGCTTTCAAGTGTTTAGGTTTGAGAATTTCTGTTGAAGGAAAGTCCAGAGATGTGCTTCGGCCACACATTTATAAAGTGTTTAGGTTTGAGAATTTCTGGTGAAGGAAAGTCCAGAGATGTGCTTCGGCCACACATTTATAAAGTGTTTAGGTTTGAGAATTTCTGGTGAAGGAAAGTCCAGAGATGCGCTTCGGCCACACATTTATAAAGTGTTTAGGTTTGAGAATTTCTGGTGAAGGAAAGTCCAGAGTTGTGCTTCGGCCACACATTTATAAAGTGTTTAGGTTTGAGAATTTCTGGTGAAGGAAAGTCCAGAGATGTGCTTCGGCCACACATTTATAAAGTGTTTAGGTTTGAGAATTTCTGGTGAAGGAAAGTCCAGAGATGTGATTCGGCCACACATTTATAAAGTGTTTAGGTTTGAGAATTTCTGGTGAAGGAAAGTCCAGAGATGTGCTTCGGCCACTCATTTATAAAGTGTTTAGGTTTGAGAATTTCTGGTGAAGGAAAGTCCAGAGATGTGCTTCGGCCACACATTTATAAAGTGTTTATTTCCAATGCTTCCTCCATAAGTTGTAGTTAATGAACACACAATTTGCATAACATGTTATTGAAGTAATACAGTTAGAAGTAGTATCTACAATTCAAGTTAAAACATTCAATCATGGGACATAACTCTAGGAAATCTGATGAGATAAAAAAAAAGTGTACAATGATCATCCTGATATATACTGTGCGGATGAGAGCACTAACAAGGCAGTTTTTCACATACTTAAAATTTCCAAGGGCCATTATCCAATACAATTTTTAATCAGCATTTGTTGCATATCTTTTTTTTAACAAAGTCCGTGAACTGTATGATGATGAAGGAATGGGTTTGGCGTCCAGTGGCAAATATTACATGCCTATCTGGACAGGGAAATGTTAATGGGATATGAATATGAAGCTTTGTACTAGATCAATAAGCTGAGCCTGTTTTTGAACTTGCTAGTTTTTAATAGTCCACAGGAAGATATGTCCTACCCAGACACATTATTCTGACTCGGAGGCTACCGCAAATGACATTCAACTCTATTTCAACATTTAGATACACATATGTTTATGCTACATTGAAAAAAGCTAGTTTAGGCATTTGCTTGCACATGAAAATACCCTGAGAGCATGAAAATCAGGGGAGAGAACTAGTGAAATTCCATGTCGTTTACTTCATCATACAAATGAATTCATACCTTTGGTCCGTGTATTTTCTATTGACCCATATATGTAGTCGACTTATACTATATATTGGCCAAGGTGTAGTCTACAATAAAGATTTTAACAGTGTGTACAAAACAAACTAAAATAATGATTAAAAAGAAATGACCTAACTTAAATTGTACCTTCCTGTTTACTGTGAAATACATGGTTTATTGCACTGAAGTCGAAAGTCACGAATTGAGTATACAGAAGAAAAGAATAACATTTCACACATAACCAATGTCAAAGAAAACAAACATTTTCTTATCATATATCCAAAATCAGAAATATAATAGTGTCTGATAGCATGTTTTTTTTTTTATTCTTCAGATAACTCGTGATGAATTTGATAACTATTATAGTGGAGTCTCTGCCTCGGTGGACAGTGATGTGTACTTTAATTTAATGATGACAAATGCTTGGAAGCTGTGAATGGCTAAATTCATCAAATATTTATTTAAAATTATAGAGCAGTAGCAGGTTCTCATGGAGACTAAAACCATCAAATATTTATCATTTACAAAATAGTAGGAGGTTCACGTGGGGACTCAAGTCATCAAATATTTATAATAAACAAAAATATGAGGTTCTCAACAAGGGTCAATAACATTTTGCTCATGGAGACTAAAGTCATCAGTTATTTAGTATTTATAAAATAGTATGCGGTTCTTAAAAGGGGTCAATAAACAAAACATTTGGCTCATGTAGACTAGTTTTCATATGATAGAAATCCTAAATATTTTACTGACACTGCATTTTCTGCTTTCGTTATGTTGGGATAAGATGAAAGGGTACTACTGTAGCTACACATTTTCTTTACTTTGAAGGCTAAGCTTGCTATAGTAGTAAGAATTTCGTCTGTTTTGAGGATCTGCTTTAGACTTAGTACTATATTACCCATTGGATCCTAGTAATAGCTCGGCTTATGGACACTACATGTTACAGGGGCGGATCCAGGAGTATAGGTTAGGGGGGGCGCAAACTTAATTTTTTGCCGAGCGGAGCAAGGCGAAAAATTTTATGAGGTAAAATTATCGAAATATTCTTTATTAAGCTGAGGACAACCCATGCTTTGCAAATTTTAGGGGGCGCACACCCTCCAAGCCCCTGCCTGAATCCGCCCCTGTGTTACCAGAACATTTGTTTGAACAGTAATGCTCAATTCTTGTACATATTCTCTGTTATATTAAACTATATAAATTGTTGCATGACTTTTTGTATGTTGTATTTATGTTAAACATTGTCGTTTGAACACTGGAACTTGGTCATAACTTAGAACAATGTGAAATATTACAAATATCTACAAGATGATTGTCGGACATAGGAGGTTCCAATGTACAAAATTGTGTCATCAACACAAAACCTGAATGAAAAAAATTAACCTCTGATCTGATCAGTGGTCAGCATTAGATCATTTTCATTTATACTTACCAAGTCATAGTTTTAGGCGTGTAGTAAAAATGGTGATTCGCTTGTTTACAAAATATCTATTGAGTAAGAGCAATTATATAAAACAATTGATAGCCTCTATTTATTTTCTAGATAGTAAAGGTAAGATTATTTGAGTTTTACATTCAAACACTTATTCACCCAGTCTTGTAAAATACACTTCACATTTAAAAAAGATATTCAAATTGATTATTAATTTTGATGAACAATTTTCATTAGGCATGTTAAAGATGCACTGTAAATATCATAACAGTCAGATTGTCCTTTAAAGAAGATAGATCGAGATACATGGACATTAGATGTCTTTTTTTAATGAACTTTTGAAATTTCATGTATTTATCAGTGAGAATTTATAAAATTAAAGACAATGGAAAAGAACAAGATTTGAATTCAAAAGTATATTTGTAGGACTCAGATCTATGGTGGGTTCCAGATGTATGGCAAATTTCTGCAAATCCCTAATCTATGGTAAATATGATGTCACAAACGCCAAACATAACACAAATCTATGGCAGTATTTTGTTTTCTCCAAATCTATGGCAGATTTGGATACTACGTAATTTTCCGTCACAATTAAATAACGTCATGGAACGTTGAAGCTGCCGATGACGACGACGGTTTTGTTATACAAAAGGAAAAGAAAAGGATCGAAAAGCAAGTTTGCAAGGATATAAATTAATAAATAAATTATAATTCAAAATTGTGTTTGTTTCTACCCTTGTTTTCTTCTTCTCGTGTTGCTGGTGTTGGCATCACCCTTAATTGTACGAGCTTTTACCGTGCATTTTGGTTTGCTATTTTGTGTTTTTATGCTATTTTTTTGTATTCCTATGATCTCTTTAATTTTCTGTAAGAAGTAACACAACATAAAGTATTTTGTCAGCTATATAACAGTGACTACCTGTACTATTGTAGCAAACAATCTTTCTTGAGATTTGGAAAAAAATAAATATGATATAGATTTCTAATAGATATTAATATCGTTTTCCGCTCTAAATATGTCGAAAAACTGTACTGTTGGAGAAATAAGGATTTTTTTAGAGGGTCACACAGGTACTACTAGTATACACAGAGTAGGAAATAAGTATTCTTCCGGGGCACATGATTTCAAACCTACAGTCTGTGCTCATTTTACAAACGGTTATGTATATGCTTCCTAGTAATAGTCCTAATTTGTTTTTCTAATACTGGATTTTATTTAAAAGCAGCTTTTTTGCTACCTTTGGACATTTCGACCTCGAAATCATTGGTCAGATATGCACTGACTGGTCCGACCTTTGCAGAAAATCTGTCATAGATTTGAAATCTAGAAATCCGCCATAGATTAGGAAACTAAAAAAATTGCCATAGATTAGGAAACTAAAAAGTTGCTATAGATTAGGATTCTAAAAAAAACTGCCATAGATTTGGGATGACATGACGTCATATTTACCATAGATTAGGAATCTGCCATAGATCTGGAACCCGCCATAGATTTGAGTCCTACATATTTATCATTTTTGACAACTGATATTTGTATTTACATGTGTATCTGTATAATGTTGACAGTACATTTCACTGATATTTCTTGGGGGAACTGTTGAATATGCATGTGTCTGTTATTCGATCATTGACATTCTCTGTTTGTTGTATTCACAATGCTATTCTTTGTTATGACTTACCACCACATATGAATGATCACCACAGTTATACATATCATAAGCAACACTTTTGATGTCACTAGTGGAGCAGGGATTGCTTTCTGTTCCAGAGTAACTATGTTAACCCCTAGTTTTTAGTGGTGTGTGTGTGGCTCAGTCTTTAGAATATTGTCCACTGTTTGTGGATATCATAAAATTAAGAAGATGTCGTATGATTGCCAATGAGACATTTATCTACCAGTGACCAAATGACAGACTTAAACAACTAAAGGTCACCTTACAGCCTTCAACAATGTGCAAAACCTATTGTTTATTACTTTTTCTTTGGTTGGTAAAAGGTAAGGTATCTAATGCCCAACAGTTCCAACATTTTGGTACTGGAAACTTACCAAGTATGTTAGATATAAATTCTTTGTTGCCCTATCTCATAAAGGAAGTAGCAGTTAAATCAAATCCATAAACTCCCATTCTGCATATGGATAATACTGGTGGAGTGGTTCAGTTACAAGGTAATTAACTCATGTCTGTTTAATGCTTCATGTAAGCACATGTTTTGGGTTATTTTATTCCCTGGGTTGCTGTCTGATAGACATATGCTTCACATCTACTTTTATTCATATAAAATGGAAAGCAAGTCTATATGGAAGAAGAATTCAATTATTAAAACAAAACACTCATTACTGTTCATTATTACATTCAACAACATTATATTGGCCAATATTACAGTTCATACAAACAAACAAAATTTCGTTCTGTGACAGACTGGTGAAAACTATCTATCTTCCAAGTCAAACAGTTTAAAGGCAGGTTGGTAAAGTTTAACAAGTATAACACACCACCATGTCAAAACTAATTGCTTACTTGTTGTGAAATTATTACATTTTTCAATAAACCAACAATCTGAATATTATAACTGGACTATGAGGTCTGGAAAACTACAGAGCACTACAGTAAGGTAAGCTTATATAATATTATCTGAGTCATTGAGTTTAAGCCATTTTAAAAGACAAGTCTCATGCATTTTCTGTTTATGTAATTGGGTAAATGTCCTCCAGACATTGTGATTCAAATGAAATGTTGATAAAATTCTGGTTCATGCTCAAATCAGTTAAAAGTTTCAAGGAAATCCATACAACAATTTCATACTGATGCAGCATACTCCTGCTCCATACTAAAAATTAACCATTGTTTTATGGTACACACCACTTGTGCTTACTTTTAATGAATGAAATCAATCTAGCTGAGAAGGAATTGATTTTCACAAGATTTGGGAATAAACTGATGAAGGCATATTGTAATTCCAACATAAACCAATATAAATGAAATCCTTTTTTCCTAATAGTTGATAATGTTCAGGATCTTCATACTGTTGTTTTTATTCAGAGATCTATTCTCAAGGCAAATTATTCTTGAAATATTGGACAAGTTATTGAAAAAGTCTTCATATCTAAGAACTTTCACCGCATTGTAAATTTAGTCAACAATGTTACAAGGCTAAAAAAATACACAAAAATGAAAATGGACAATATTTATTTTTTCTTTACACCAGTTTATCCATTCAGTCTAAAATAAGAAAGATAATCTATTTGATAGCAATTTACAAAAATATACCCATACACTAAAGATAATAAAATATGTGTAATCCACATTATCTTTTAAAATTTTTTCATTGTACATGAGGCCATGAATATGTTGAGTATAATAATGCAAACAAAGAGGTACATTGTACTACACACAAAATAGTATGAGAACGTTGTGATTCAATACACATACAAAATATGATTACAACATTGTCATGTATACACACATAATACATTACAGATAACAAGAGAGGAGTTTGATAATTACTACAGTGGAGTCAGTGCTTCTGTAGATAGTGATGCTTACTTCAACTTAATGATGACCAATGCTTATAAACTTTAATGCCAAACAATGGACAGACTTATCATAAATTATGAAAAATTCGTGTGTGGATTCTTATAGACATCAATGCCAAAAGGCGGACATAAAAAATATTGTTATGTGTTTTCAATTGTTTTTTATATTGTTGTGAATGTTCACTAAATGACAATCATTGTTTTATTTACATGCTACTGTGTATATTCGCAAACATATAATAAAGTATATTTGCACTTTAAGATTGATTAATTTGTAAGCCTGAATAAACTTGTATTTAATATAGCCTTAAAACAGAAGTAACTTAACCAATAATAATAAAATGACTTATTCTTTTAATTGCTAAACATGCAAGTCATTATTTTCCATTCAATGTTCTCTTTAATTATCAATATACCCAAAATCATTTAAATAAAATTACACATATAAAGAGTCACTGAACACCACTTGAATTACTAAATAGTAATGAACAGAAAAAGAAAAGGATAAAAAGTGAAAGGTCAGAAAGAGAGAGCTAGAAAAAACATTTTTTTTTACATACATCAAGTCTTTGTTTATATTTTATTAAAAAAAAATTAAAATAAATCAACAGAAAAAAACAAAGTACTCCACTTTTAGTTTTTTGGTAAATTGACTAGACAAACCTTTAAAAGTACTAGTATATACTAGTATACTTGTTTAAAAAAGTTATTGTAGAATTTAACATGTTTGGAAAGGAATGTAATCACCGAGAAGTGAACTTTGACCTTTCAACTTAATACAAATCCATGAAGAGTAAAAAGTAGGGTCAAGTCCAAGTACTTTTCATGCATGGATGTTATACCCTCTTAAACGCATCCTAACACAAAGATACATGACTGTACTGGTAAGTAACTTACTATATGAAACAAAATCAAAGTCAATGAAGCATGAAATGTTTGTCTGAGTGCCCCTCTATTTGTGGCATGCTCTACTGACCCTAAGTATCCATATACATGTAGGAAAGTTTCATGATTGAAGGTCACAATTTATCTGAGATCTAGATGTGAAATAAAACTTAATGGAGTAAATGTATGATAAAAGTCAGAGTTACCTACTTTTGTGGAAGGTTGTTATACACTCCTAGATGTAAACTTACACCAGGTCATATGATAAAAGGTTATTTAGAATATGATTACTGAATTTAACACTACAACTTAATATAAGTAATGAAGTTTAAAAACTTTATCAAATTGACTAAATCATGAATTAAGGGTCATGTGACCTTCGTCTGAAGTCTCTTCAAGAAAAATTTGCACGTCATATTAGAATTGGCTATACTGCCATCTGTATACTGGTATGTTTATTAGCTTCTGAGAAATGGTTAAGGACTCGCTGAGGACACACTCAAACATGGTCCTCAACGCTGTTGAAATGGACAAAATATGCATTTATAAGGTGTTTGGTTTGTTAGCAGAGACAATAGAACTATCCATAAGGAACCCTTTATGTTATGTAAATAACTGGCAGCCGATTTATATAAAGGAAAAAGATTTAACAGAGCTACAAAAAAGTTTATGTTGAAGTCCAACAGAAAAATGCTTAAAAGATCCAATTGTTTTTCATGGATGAAACTAAACAGAGTGTTTAACAAAACTGTTGTATAAAAGACTGTAAAAATTTATTTATGTATAACAAACTGTTTCATAACTAAAATCACAAACAACAAATCATTGCAGATAATGTTCTGAAATATTAAAACAATATAAACAATGAAGTTTTTTCTGATTAGTTTAGTTTCCATGCAAACAAATAAATAAAACAGTTTCTGTTGAGTGATCTTTCAATATCCATGACAGCTTACTTATATTGTTTGGTCAAGTCTGATCATCAGGTATCCATGACAACATTTCATGTTACTTTTCAGTCTGAATGGTCATTAGGGTTCAGTACACCATTATGATTTGGTTCATTTTGATTAGACTATGTTTCCATGATGGTATATATACAATGACCCTGTTCATATTGTCTTTACCAACTCACAGAAACTATGTTCTCATCAAGTTTCCATGGCAACATGAAATTATTTGGTTTAATCAGATTGATCTTCTGGCTCATCTTCTTTCAGCATGACATAAGATAACTTAGCAACATCTTTGCGTAGATTTTTAATACTGTAGGTATTACCTACAAAATATATCATTTCTTATAGCAGTGATTATAAGTCTGTACACTTAACACAGGCCAAACAGGACAAATCATATGTACATAGAACTACTAAGGAGCAGAGAAAACTAAAAACTTCCTCATAAGATAAAAGTCTACGACTTAATAATGTAGTGGAACTTTACTCTTAAAACATACAATGAATAACGAGTAGACAGGATTAATAAGGCTTGATGGAGTCTGTAAACTTACCTCTAGGTACAAAGAATTGATCATGTGTAGACAGGATAAATAAGGATTGATGGAGTCTATAAACTTACCTCTAGGTACAAAGAATTGATCATGTGTAGACAGAATGACACTGGTGGATTGTATCGTTACTAATAGCTTTCCAAATATTATGTGAAATATCTGAAAAAAGTATATGTACTGTAAGCAAAACTTGAGAAATCTTTACCATAAACAAAATATCTATTCACACAGCACCCTCTAATAAAATAAATATAATGTGATGAAAAGACAAATCAAGTGGTCAGAAAAATAATCAAATCAAAGATATTCTATGCCTTAACATATTGAATTTTACTGATATACATTCATGTGTTTAGGAGAAGTTGTTGATACAGTGTCTCATAACAAAAGCACTATTCTAAACTTCACTAAGCAAGCCTAATAAAACTCATCATGTAAAAAGAAAAACATATGATATTCAAGATCTTCACAGGAGATATGGGTTCCTATTCCCTGTCACTGTTTTATATCCCTTGAGCTGTCAGTCAAAGGGGATATAGGGAACTGAAAGGGAATAGGAGCCCATATCCCTTGTAAAGCTGGAATAAAAATCATATTAGACTGGAGTGTCCTGATTTCAACACTTATTAACATTCTGATGTTTATATCCCATGACAAGCAACCAATCAAACAACATGAATAGCTGGGATGTTTCACTCCAGTATAATAATTTCTATTTAACCTTTTGGGCCAAAAGTTCATTTACACATGTACATCTATTTTAGCATACCAGTGTACTATTTCACAAAGTTTTTTCTTATAAAAATAAGGAGATGTGGCATGATTGCAAATGAGACAACTATCCACAAAATGTCAAATGAAGTGGATGTGAGCAATTATAGGCAACTGTAAGGTATATATATTACATTATTATCAGTATACAGAGTTAATTATTACCACTGTTCCCTTAGTTACAGCCTGCAATGGTTTCTCCATTAAACCATTTAGTTGTAACATTCCTGTACCAAAGGCTGGTTGATTAATAGACCTGGTCATGAAGAATGGGTCACTGTCACAGGCTTCTTCTCCATCAGGTCCAAATTTTAAGCTTTGCTCTTTGGTTCCAATGCATTCTGACAAGAAATAATAAATCAATATATTGAAGATAAGACTTCAGATAATTTACATCAAGCTATAAGGCTCAATAGAGTCTGTAACATGATTCTGACTACTATGTACTAGTAGCTGACATCAAATATAATGGATAAATAAACTATATCTCTTCATGTACATTACTCTTACAGTTTGTCTTTCATGCTGTGTGGAGACAGTATAAAGTTTCCATGTGCTTGAAGTGTAAGCTCTCTGACTAATACTTAAACAGTTATGGAATACTAATTCTTGGGATAACATCTTCAGGTAAATCTTTTGAATTTTAAAAGTACTAACAACATTTACTAGCAAGCCACAGAAGATCAACAAAAAGTAAGATGTACAAAGTATATCAGGTCTTCTTTTTAAACAGTAGTCCATTAAAATATCTGCAAATTTTTGTTATGAGAATTTTCTAAATTCATTAAACTACCAATATTGTACAATCTAAACATTATTCTATTTTTTTTTATTTCTTAAAGCATTTCATAAAAGCTCCACATTTAGTTTCTTTCAAGTCCTATAAAAAAAAACTTTCAGTGTATTTTTGATAGTATTGAAATAGCTTAATAGATAGTGAAGAACTTCTCACTATCAAGCAGTTTCAATAATACAAAAATTTGTAAACTGTTGATACACAGGAAGTGGAGACATGGACACAATACTTACCAAGTATGACATCTGTACTAATGGTAATGTAAACTGTTGATACACAGGAAGTGGAGACATGGACACACTACTTACCAAGCATGACATCTGTACTAATGGTAATGTAAACTGTTGATACACAGGAAGTGGAGACACACTACTTACCAAGCATGACATCTGTACTAATGGTAATGTAAACTGTTGATATGCAGGAAGTGGAGACATGGACACACTACTTACCAAGCATGACATCTGTACTAATGGTAATGTAAACTGTTGATACACAGGAAGTGGAGACACACTACTTACCAAGCATGACATCTGTACTAATGGTAATGTAAACTGTTGATACACAGGAAGTGGAGACATGGACACACTACTTACCAAGCATGACATCTGTACTAATGGTAATGTAAACTGTTGATACACAGGAAGTGGAGACACACTACTTACCAAGCATGACATCTGTACTAATGGTAATGTAAACTGTTGATACACAGGAAGAGGAGACATGGACAAACTACTTACCAAGCATGACATCTGTACTAATGGTAATGTAAACTGTTGATACACAGGAAGTGGAGACATGGACACACTACTTACCAAGCATGACATCTGTACTAATGGTAATGTAAACTGTTGATACACAGGAAGTGGAGACATGGACACACTACTTACCAAGCATGACATCTGTACTAATGGTAATGTAAACTGTTGATACACAGGAAGTGGAGACACACTACTTACCAAGCATGACATCTGTACTTATGTTAATGTAAACTGTTGATACACAGGAAGTGGTAATGTAAACTGTTGATACACAGGAAGTGGTAATGTAAACTGTTGATACACAGGAAGTGGAGACATGGACACACTACTTACCAAGCATGACATCTGTACTAATGGTAATGTAAACTGTTGATATGCAGGAAGTGGAGACATGGACAAACTACTTACCAAGCATGACATCTGTACTAATGGTAATGTAAACTGTTGATACACAGGAAGTGGAGACATGGACACAATACTTACCAAGCATGACATCTGTACTAATGGTAATGTAAACTGTTGATATGCAGGAAGTGGAGACATGGACAAACTACTTACCAAGCATGACATCTGTACTAATGGTAATGTAAACTGTTGATATGCAGGAAGTGGAGACATGGACAAACTACTTACCAAGCATGACATCTGTACTAATGGTAATGTAAACTGTTGATACACAGGAAGTGGAGACATGGACACAATACTTACCAAGCATGACATCTGTACTAATGGTAATGTAAACTGTTGATATGCAGGAAGTGGAGACATGGACAAACTACTTACCAAGCATGACATCTGTACTAATGGTAATGTAAACTGTTGATACACAGGAAGTGGAGACATGGACAAACTACTTACCAAGCATGACATCTGTACTAATGGTAATGTAAACTGTTGATACACAGGAAGTGGAGACATGGACAAACTACTTACCAAGCATGACATCTGTACTAATGGTAATGTAAACTGTTGATACACAGGAAGTGGAGACATGGACACAATACTTACCAAGCATGACATCTGTACTAATGGTAATGTAAACTGTTGATATGCAGGAAGTGGAGACATGGACAAACTACTTACCAAGCATGACATCTGTACTAATGGTAATGTAAACTGTTGATACACAGGAAGTGGAGACATGGACACAATACTTACCAAGCATGACATCTGTACTAATGGTAATGTAAACTGTTGATATGCAGGAAGTGGAGACATGGACACACTACTTACCAAGCATGACATCTGTACTAATGGTAATGTAAACTGTTGATACACAGGAAGTGGAGACATGGACACAATACTTACCAAGCATGACATCTGTACTAATGGTAATGTAAACTGTTGATATGCAGGAAGTGGAGACATGGACAAACTACTTACCAAGCATGACATCTGTACTAATGGTAATGTAAACTGTTGATACACAGGAAGTGGAGACATGGACAAACTACTTACCAAGCATGACATCTGTACTAATGGTAATGTAAACTGTTGATATGCAGGAAGTGGAGACATGGACAAACTACTTACCAAGCATGACATCTGTACTAATGGTAATGTAAACTGTTGATACACAGGAAGTGGAGACATGGACAAACTACTTACCAAGCATGACATCTGTACTAATGGTAATGTAAACTGTTGATACACAGGAAGTGGAGACATGGACAAACTACTTACCAAGCATGACATCTGTACTAATGGTAATGTAAACTGTTGATACACAGGAAGTGGAGACATGGACAAACTACTTACCAAGCATGACATCTGTACTAATGGTAATGTAAACTGTTGATACACAGGAAGTGGAGACACACTACTTACCAAGCATGACATCTGTACTTATGGTAATGTAAACTGTTGATACACAGGAAGAGGAGACATGGACAAACTACTTACCAAGCATGACATCTGTACTAATGGTAATGTAAACTGTTGAACCACAGGAAGTGGAGACACACTACTTACCAAGCATGACATCTGTACTTATGGTAATGTAAACTGTTGATACACAGGAAGTGGAGACACACTACTTACCAAGCATGACATCTGTACTTATGGTAATGTAAACTGTTGATACACAGGAAGTGGAGACACACTACTTACCAAGCATGACATCTGTACTTATGGTTATGTAAACTGTTGATACACAGGAAGTGGTAATGTAAACTGTTGATACACAGGAAGTGGAGACACACTACTTACCAAGCATGACATCTGTACTTATGATAATGTAAACTGTTGATACACAGGAAGAGGAGACATGGACAAACTACTTACCAAGCATGACATCTGTACTAATGGTAATGTAAACTGTTGAACCACAGGAAGTGGAGACACACTACTTACCAAGCATGACATCTGTACTTATGGTAATGTAAACTGTTGATACACAGGAAGTGGTAATGTAAACTGTTGATACACAGGAAGTGGAGACACACTACTTACCAAGCATGACATCTGTACTTATGGTAATGTAAACTGTTGATACACAGGAATTGGAGACACACTACTTACCAAGCATGACATCTGTACTTATGGTTATGTAAACTGTTGATACACAGGAAGTGGTAATGTAAACTGTTGATACACAGGAAGTGGAGACACACTACTTACCAAGCATGACATCTGTACTTATGGTAATGTAAACTGTTGATACACAGGAAGAGGAGACATGGACACACTACTTACCAAGCATGACATCTGTACTAATGGTAATGTAAACTGTTGAACCACAGGAAGTGGAGACACACTACTTACCAAGCATGACATCTGTACTTATGGTAATGTAAACTGTTGATACACAGGAAGTGGTAATGTAAACTGTTGATACACAGGAAGTGGAGACACACTACTTACCAAGCATGACATCTGTACTTATGGTAATGTAAACTGTTGATACACAGGAAGTGGAGACACACTACTTACCAAGCATGACATCTGTACTAATGGTAATGTAAACTGTTGATACACAGGAAGTGGAGACACACTACTTACCAAGCATGACATCTGTACTAATGGTAATGTAAACTGTTGATACACAGGAAGTGGAGACACACTACTTACCAAGCATGACATCTGTACTAATGGTAATGTAAACTGTTGATATGCAGGAAGTGGAGACATGGACACACTACTTACCAAGCATGACATCTGTACTAATGGTAATGTAAACTGTTGATACACAGGAAGTGGAGACACACTACTTACCAAGCATGACATCTGTACTAATGGTAATGTAAACTGTTGATACACAGGAAGTGGAGACATGGACACACTACTTACCAAGCATGACATCTGTACTAATGGTAATGTAAACTGTTGATACACAGGAAGTGGAGACATGGACAAACTACTTACCAAGCATGACATCTGTACTAATGGTAATGTAAACTGTTGATACACAGGAAGTGGAGACATGGACAAACTACTTACCAAGCATGACATCTGTACTAATGGTAATGTAAACTGTTGATACACAGGAAGTGGAGACATGGACACACTACTTACCAAGCATGACATCTGTACTAATGGTAATGTAAACTGTTGATACACAGGAAGTGGAGACACACTACTTACCAAGCATGACATCTGTACTAATGGTAATGTAAACTGTTGATACGCAGGAAGTGGAGACACACTACTTACCAAGCATGACATCTGTACTAATGGTAATGTAAACTGTTGATACACAGGAAGTGGAGACACACTACTTACCAAGCATGACATCTGTACTTATGTTAATGTAAACTGTTGATACACAGGAAGTGGAGACACACTACTTACCAAGCATGACATCTGTACTAATGGTAATGTAAACTGTTGATACACAGGAAGTGGAGACACACTACTTACCAAGCATGACATCTGTACTTATGTTAATGTAAACTGTTGATACACAGGAAGTGGAGACACACTACTTACCAAGCATGACATCTGTACTTATGGTAATGTAAACTGTTGATACACAGGAAGTGGAGACACACTACTTACCAAGCATGACATCTTCTTCATTATCAGGATTATATACAGTGATTTCTGTGTTAATTGTAGGGTCAACTTCTGATGGCAGTTCTGCATGAGCAGATAATCTTCTTGACAACCTCCGATCAGGCTTTTCTACAAGAACAATTCAATCGTATCAATACTTATGCTTTTCTTCTTCATTGCTATTTTGAATTTTTACTGATAGTAGACAGTGGGTAACATAAAGGAATCCAAATACTGCTCACCTTAAAGTAAATTTTATATTGGTGTAATGTTAGTCCCTAAGACCACTATTATCACTGGTGGATTATGACTGCTATAATACTCAGGAACTGTTAGTCTCAAACAAATTTTGAAGGACAAATTTCACTATAGGTAAAATATTGCCAAATAGTTCTAAGACAGAATCACTACTGCTAGACTAATAGTCCCAAAGATCTACATTATAACTTTTGGAATGTTAGTCCAAAAGATCTAAATCACTTCTTCTGGACTGTTAGTCCAAATGGTCTGCATTATTACTGGTGGACTGTTAGCCCAAAAGATCTACATTATCACTTGTGGAATGATAGTCCCAAAGCTCTACATTATAACCTTTTGAATGTTAGTCCAAAGGATCTGTCTCGTTACTGGTGAACTTTAAGTTGATTTTTACATTACAGTTCCACAGCCTTTAGGTTTCGTCGCTATTTCTATAAGATCTATATATCTAATACTTACTTCTTACTTTGAGTTGATTTTTACGTTTCAGTTCCATGGCCTTCAGTTTAGCTTCTGATACAGATGGCTTAATACCAATGATTGCAAATCCTCCTGAAAAGGAATACACAATTTTCATTATTGATTTTTTGGTGTTTAATGCCACTTTCAGCACTATTGGCTATTTCGTGGCAGTAAGTTTTTATTGGTGGAGGCAGCAGAAGTGCCTGGAGTGAACAACCAACCTTCAGCAGGAAAACTGACAATCCTAGTCAATTAAGATTGGAGACAAACACACCTACCACGTGCAAGGTTTGAATTCACAACCCCAATGTTGACAGGCAAGTGAGACAGTAGTTGAACTACTTAGATCACTCAGCCACTGAGGCCCCAAATTTTTATTAAGTGTAAAGACCAAGTAACAAGACCTAAGTATAGTTCGCTTGCATAGACATAAAGAAAAATTGATTTACAGTTAACTAAATACGAAATAAGTTACCTGATTTTCGTCTTTCATAAATAGGTATTTCAAGTTTGTAATTGTCCAATCTTTTTAAACGAGTGCGCCTGGATCTTCTCACACCTTCTGGAGCTGGTTCAGGGGAAACTGGAAAACAAATATCCAACATAGAAAGTAAGATAATGATCATTTAAACAAATAAAAAAGGCTTGTAACAAATATGTTTTCCTGGTTTTTTGTGTGTGTAGATCAGACTAATGTAGAATGACAAAATTTGAATATTGTTTGTCAGTTGAATACTTTTATTTTCACACTGTCACACAGTCCACTTTTGATTGTCTCCCATGTTTGAAGCATCTATCTATTTCAAGAGTCACAAAGGACCACGTATGGATTATAATACATTTATGAGAGCTACATATTTTTTTTCATGTGTGGGTCCATTTTTTTCAAGTCTCTTAAGAATGTTATTCAAGTGTAAGATACATATCTACTTCAAGTTCAAATTTTGTGTCTTGTTTAGGATTTCCATTGTTGTTAAAGCTTGGGTTATCTATCTTTCTTTATAAACTGACTTACATTTAACTGTAAATTGTTTATTTCTTATTTTTTAAAGTTTGCAATACATATTTTTCCCATGAGTCACTTACTCATTTTGTTTAATTTTGGGTTGCCTATCTTTTCAGGAGTCTGTGAAGAAGTCATTTCAAATGCATGTACCAGGGGACCATCTGTCATGTTCTGTGTATGGTCTGTACTACTGCCTGTTCACACAAAAAACAATTACTGTCACATTCACAATAACATTCTTTAATTATTAGATTCTGAAAAAGTATTGTCACTATTGGTATACTTACATAAACTCACAAATTGCAATGTTGAATATAAGTATTTCAAAATGAAGAAAAGATATTAAAACAGCAGAACTACATATTCACTGAAGAAACAACACTAAACAAAGTTGTGATAGCATACTTCTTAATCAAAATTGTAACTGAGCACTAGCTCTGATTTAGTTTTTACCCATTACTGACCTTTATATCTTTTGACCTTTTCTGGTGTTATATAACTGATGATAGCTTATAATTACATTCCAACAAATAGATAAAGGTGACTCTGAATGCCTTTACTGGAAGACACAGGCAGGACATACCAACAACTGTATCTTCCTTAATTTAGAACTATTATGTACTAACTAACATCAATAACAAATGATTATGTTTGAACTAACCTGTTGTATTTTCAACATCAAAAGATGTCTCTATAACTTTCCTGCTGATTGTAACTCGTCTTTCTTTACTCTTGCTACCTTTCCCTTTGACAATACAAGGAGTTGTATTAATTATATCAGTTGGAGGAGCAAACCTCATAGAACTACGACGTCGGATAATGTTTGGGATTTTTCCATCTATATCTGCTTCGTCTTTGTTCACTATATGTGGACCAGAGCTGTCTGGATCATTATCCGCATCAGGTTGACCATTATCCACATCAAGTCCTGACATGTCATTATCTGTTATATTCTTATTGCTGGTGTCTTGTTGAGGGGTATCTGTATCTGGTATTCATTAATAAATAAGTCTAATCAAATTATTTTTTTTTAATATCTCTTAACAATTTAAAACAGACATCTATTGCGTTCCTTAAACTGGCACATTTTTTTAGTTAGGACTACTGTGGATTCATTATTATTCGTTGAATACCAATTTTCGTGGATTTCATGGGTACAGATAAAACACGAATTTAAATGTTCAACAAATTGCATATTTGCTGTATAATTATATGCAGACTTTTGGAAAACCACGAAATCAAATATCCACGAAAATGCAAGTTTTCCTTAATCCATGAAAATTGATTCCCACGAAAATAAATGAATCCACAGTATATAGCATTTATAGAAACAGTAACAGTCTTTTGAAATAGACATACATAATTTTAATTTGCTGGCTCATTTGAAATAACTTTGTGAATATTGGAACTGTTTACCATGGTTTTACCTCTTTATGATAATTAGTATATATTGTGTTACTTTCTACAGCAATAGTTAAATGCCTTACCTTCCACAACAATAGTTCTTCTCTTACTTCTGAAGGATACTCCACTCTTTAGTCCTTCCTTTAACAAACTAACAGGGTCTGTCAAAAAGTAAAATATTCTCTTCAGTTTTATATCTCTCCCTCCCTTCTTTTCCCCCCTAATTTACTGGTCAACAAAGTGTCTTACTATTTATCTGTCCTCCTTTCAAATCTATATTGTGATGTCCAAATTTAGTTTGTCATACTCTGAGTTTTGAAAATGATACCATGTGAAATGAAAAAAAAATGCTCAGAAATTTACAAAAAGTAAAATAACTTTCAATGTTCCCCATTTGTACCTTGATTTGTTCATCTAGTAATATGTTAAACTTAACATACAAAAAATCTCCATTAACCTGTTGTTCCCCTTTCTAGCTATATTACCCTTACGAAACTGTGATGTATCAAACAATCAGGTTTAACAAATAAAACAGAAGGCCACATTTATATTATATCATGTACTTACATTGAACATCTGGTGTGTTGGTTATCATAATGTGCTGTTTTATCACAGGGGTGGTAGCTTCATCTAGGAAGCAAAACATGAATATTTTACTACTGTGTACTCTTCTAATATTTTTCAATTTTATAAAAACTAGAGACTAAGACAATTCATATACGACATGAAATACATTTAAAGAATACATTTACTTACGATTCTGATTAATTCATGAAATTCAAAAATATTATTAGAAATAAAAATTTCAAGTTGATGTGAGCCCAACTTCGTGGTTACTAATTTTTTTTAACCTGATATGGGATGGACAGACAGCTTCTTAGACTGACTGTTGGATGAGATGGACAAACAGCTTCTTAGACTGATTGTTGGATGAGATGGACAGACAGCTTCTTAGACTGATTGTTGGATGAGATTTACCTGTTCACCTGACAGGTAAACTAGTACCAACCATTGCATTTTTATAACAAAATAATTAAATCAAGCCCAGTAATTTCTAACAATCTTTAACATAATAGGTCTTTATCTAAAATATAAGTTACCAGATCTAAAAGAAGATATAAAAACATACCTGTGATAATTTCATTCGGAATACTTCTTTTTCTTGTTACTGGTGAAGTCTTCTTTACATCCTTTCCTTTGTTTTTTTCTTTCTTCCTTCTTTTATCTTGTGTAGTCTTTCCTGGCATGTCATCTTCAGTAGAAGAGACTCTTGTACTGATTTCATTGTCCTCTTCAAAAGTCTGTAAATCTAAAAATATATAAAATGTAAAAAAAATTGGAAAAACAGTTGTAGGTTGCAATTCTGTAAATACAGACAATGCAATTTCCCATAGGAACTCCCTTTGCGGCTAAAACTGTGACACTTTTACTATGAAGTTTCGTGAAAAATAATATCCCAGAACAGAAAGTTTATATGCACTACTATTTTATTCAAAGGTCAAAATATAGGGCTGTGCGGCATATTTTCAACATTTATATGCCCTGAACTTCTAAGAGTTTAAACTTATACTAAAATTCTATACTACCCTTACCTCCATTTTTGGACCTCCTAAGAATTAAAATTTAGCCGCTACCATGTTTATCTATACTGGTTACATTCCCAAGTGATGTCTCTATGAGATGAAACACAGAGATCATCAATGGGAACCAGTACGTTAACAAATTAACATACCTATGAATATTAAATATCTCCCCAAAAGAGGCGTGGTTTGAGAAACAGCTGTATTTACAAAGTGCAACCTATACAAACATTTATTCAAATAGAAAACTCTCTAAAAACACTTTTTCTCACAACAATACTTATTTATCAGAATTATAGCCTTAAAGAAATCACTGCATATACTCTAAGTCTCCTTTTACAGTACATTTTATACCCCTACCCCTGTTTCAATTTTTTAAAGATTTTGAAAACAAGACTCTAATTATTGCCAGCTTACCCTATGTGCATGTTTTCTGACATGAACTGTCTAAAACCTGTTTGAAACTATTCTGATAACAAATTGAAAGCATTTTAGAATACTATAAATGTTTTGTTTAGTAGTTAAGCATTCCAACATTCAAGATTATACAAAGTATCAAATCCTGCCTGTGTCTCCAGTCCACATCTTACTGTATGCCTATTTGTCAATGAAAGTTCACAATTTCTGCCTCAAATGGTCAGTTTAGAATTCTTGTCACAACAGTATCATCCCTAACCATATATCTAACATAAGTTAGTTAATATATGTCCTAGAAGTGTATAAACAAAGGCATATTTGCAAAAGTTGTATTTATGAAGATATCAGTCTGGTGCATAAATTCACTAAAAGTTTCATTGAAATGACTGCTTACATCTGATTTTTGCATAACTTCCTAGCACAGTTATTGTTTACTTTATAAAAGACCTTTAAAATAAAAAAATCATAGCATTTACAAGTTAAATTATCTGTTTTATGACTCAGGGGTAGGCATTTTCCTCTGTTTTTTGCCCCTGGGGCCTCACATTTCCTAATTTTTTTCCCTGTTTCTAGCAATGTGAAATATTTACTACATATTAAGGATAGAACACACTATTGTAAGTTTTACTGAGGTCTTTTTGTAATTCTAGCTTGTACTTTTTTATGCCGCAGTCACAAAAAAGCACATTTAGGCGTTACGGCTTACTTTTGGGTTATCGACAGGACAAAAACACCCCACCAGAAATATTTAGGAAGGATCAATGAGTTGCAATTACTGCGAAGAGTAAATATAAGCACTTCTAAACAATTTAAATTACAAATAGGCATATATTATGAATTTATTTTGAATTCAGGGCTTTAAGTAAACCATGCATACTTTAAACTGTGAATTTATGCTGAGTCATCATAGTTAAGGCCCAGGATTTTCTCAATCTTCATGAAATATTTATAAAACTTCATATTTGAGTTAAATTCTTTAAAATCTCTGAGATAAACCAGATTTTGTGAAATTCTGTATGTTCTATTTTTTAACCCTATATAGGTTGCAATTCTGTAAATACAGACAATGCAATTTCCCATAGGAACTCCCTTTGCGGCTAAAACTGTGACACTTTTACTATGAAGTTTCGTGAAAAATAATATCCCAGAACAGAAAGTTTATATGCACTACTATTTTATTCAAAGGTCAAAATATAGGGCTGTGCGGCATATTTTCAACATTTATATGCCCTGAACTTCTAAGAGTTTAAACTTATACTAAAATTCTATACTACCCTTACCTCCATTTTTGGACCTCCTAAGAATTAAAATTTAGCCGCTACCATGTTTATCTATACTGGTTACATTCCCAAGTGATGTCTCTATGAGATGAAACACAGAGATCATCAATGGGAACCAGTACGTTAACAAATTAACATACCTATGAATATTAAATATCTCCCCAAAAGAGGCGTGGTTTGAGAAACAGCTGTATTTACAAAGTGCAACCTGTAGCATTTATACAATGCCAAATCGTTAAGATAACTTTGATCCAATAACATGCCAGTTTACTGAACCAATTATCCAGTAAAAATCCTATTATTTGGTGTTTCAAATATTTTAATCAAGGGTAAAAATATATGTAGTCTAGGAAAGTCTAATGTTTACTGCATTGCATGTTGAGTAAAAAGGGGTAGATTAGGTAAGGGCCTCATTTGGCCCTAAATATCAGTCAAGTACATTCAAGACAAAAAATTTTCAAACTGGTTAATAGACATGTGAGACAGAGAAATAGAATACTTTTTCTAGAACTATTCTAATGGAATGTTAACATCTGCACTCCAAACTGACCAAAAAATGGAGACTCTTGTAAAATATAACAAAATCTCCTAGATTTCAACCAAATTTAAAACTAGGTAGAATAGAGAGCAGGGTTTGACAAACTATATAATCCAGTCAGATGTTATATTTGATATAAGAAAGTGATAAGATCTTGTTTGTCAACACATGCCCTATATATTTCTGGTCCTAAAAACCAATGGAAATTGGCAAGTTTTCATTGAATTAAACAATCTGGTGGAACATTGAAATTATCATAAAAAGAATACATCCTGAGGCTAAAACTTTGACTTAATTTAAATTTCCTCAAAATCTTACCTGACATTTCATTCTGATTTGCATCACTTAATGGCTGCTCTTCAATATGTTTTTGTAATTGAACTGGCTGATTACCTGTTACAGGTATACCATCTTGTTCTAACTCAGCATGTTCCTGAGTTGGCTGATCACTAGTTACAGGTGAAACATCTCGTATTTCTTGTTCATCAGCCAAACTTGTTTCAGTAGAATCAAACACAAATGACTTTTTATTTCTTTTACTTATTATCTTTTCTTTCTCCTTTTTCCCTCTTATATTTTCCTTCAGGTTTTCTTCCTCCTTGACATCAATACTTATAACAGGTGCAGACTTTCTAGTGTTCCTTCTTTTGTTTGTTTTGACAGGACTATTACCTGTGGTCTTTCTTCTATTTGTTTTTCTTCGATTCTGTCTTAATTCTATATTATTACTTAATTTATTTGTCTCTGACAATTTTGAAGAATTGATGTCCTTTTCTTTTTCGATTTCTGAACCAGCAGAAATATGTGTATTATTATTATCAATATTTGAATTATCTTCTCCCCCATGTGGATAAGTGTCTACAACTGCTTCTTCTTGATGTATATTATCAAAATCTTCTTTCTCTTCATGTTCATTGTCCAAAACTGCTAATTCTTGGTATTTATTGACCTCGTCTGTTTCCTCTGGATGTTTATTGTCTACATCTGTATCCTCCACATGTTTATTGTCTACATCTGTATCCTCCACATGTTTATTGTCTACATCTGTATCCTCCACATGTTTATTGTCTACATCTGTATCCTCCACATGTTTATTGTCTGCATGTGTGTTATCCATCTCTACTTGATGTTTATTGTTGATATCTGATTCCTCTCGTTGGTTGTTATACACAACAGTATCTAATCTATGTTTACTGATCAAGTCTATTTCTTTTCTGTGTATGCTTTCCTCAATCGATGATTCCTTTGTAGAAGACTTTTTCTGAGGTTTATTTTTTCCACCTTTTTTCTTCTTTTTTGCTTCATTTTTTTTCACTGTGGGATTACTAATATGTTTTTCTTTATGTACTCCTTTTTTTCTAATAGATTTAGATTTTTGTGCTTCCATATCTTTATCATTATGGCTGTTCCAATCACCTTCCAGAAGTTCAGCATCATTCCTTTCTACTTTTGATTTGTTTGTTTGTGTTTTGTTGAATAAAAATTGTGAACTTTCATCTGAGTCAGTATCCAGTACAAATGTTCTCTTGTTCAGTAGCTGGTCATAAATAATGGAGTTTTCTCGGCTATAAAAACAAAATCATGTCTTAATTAATTGTTTCAAAAAAGAATGTGTACAACAGACTGAAATATGATGCAATACATGTAACTCAATCTGCCCTTGATATTTTATTATCCTTCACTGGAACTATACTTACAACTTGTGCATTATTTTGCTCAGCTAACTAGAAATCTGATATCACAGCTTTGTGATGTAATAAAATTTGAACCAAAGTATTGAGATTGTCCAAAAATAACCAACAAAAGTCACGATTGACCTAATTTTATCGGTGTTAGCATCTGAAACATTGTGTAACTATGATTTGCATTCTAATATATAATACAATTGTCAATTTATCAGATTTTCGGGATAGTGCTTTTAGTGTCAGAAACATATCATTTTAAAAAATTTGTTTTGAGAGATTTTTGGATAAAGAAATTTAAAGTCAAATAATCTAATTGTTTTGTGCTGCATTTATGTAAATTCTATAGATTTATACTTCTATATGCATGATGATCAACTTACTTCATCCCATCATCAAGTCACATGCTGAAATGTCTCACATGCTGTTCTTATCATGATTGAATTTATGTTGAAAGTCTGTAATATGAAGGTTTTACTACAAGTATCACATAAACATTATCAATGATCCACGTAAATCAGGTCAAGGTCAGATGAATCCTGTCAGATAGACATGCACACCTTAAAATCATTCCATACACAAAATATAGTGGTCTATGGCTAATAGTACCCAAGAAACAGATATTACCCTGAAAACTTATCATTGACTATAAATGAACCATGAAAATTAGGTCACAGTCAGAAGAATCCTGCAAAACAGACATGTATACCTCACAATCATTCCATGCATCAAATATAGTTGACCTATTGCTTATAGAATCTGATAAACAGACAAAACCATGAAAACTTAACATTGACCAATGAACCATGAAAATGAGGTCAAGGTCAGATGAAACCTGCCAGTCAGACATTAACACCTTACCATCATTCCAAACACCAAATATAGTTGACCTATTGCTTATAGTATATGAGATTTGACCACAAAAACTCAACCTTGATCACTGATCCATAAAATGAGGTCAAGGTCAGGTGAACCCTGTCTGATTGACATGTAGACCTAGCAAGGATCTCTATTACCAAATATAGTTATCCTATTACTAATAAGTATTTCACATGATCAAAAAACTGTTAATTTTATTCAAGCAGTCACTGAACCATGATAATGTTGTCAAGGACAATGGACATGTGACAGACGGAAATTTCGTAACATAAGGCATCTGATTATAAGGTATGAAGCATCTAGGTCTTCTACCTTCTGATATATAAAGCTTGATATAAATAGTTTACACTGCTGTCGCTTATGCATGGAGTACTAGGAGTAAACTTTATATTCCACATATATATAGACCACTTAATACCCTTACTTAGCAATATCAATGTATACCTAGATAACCGAGGTTGTCTTTTCTTCTTCCCTTGTAACTGACTGGAATCTAATGCAGCAATGGAGTAGGACAACCTGTCAAATAAACATCACAGAATAAACAACAACATATACCATTAACATAGGACTGCATAATATAAATCATTTTGACATATCCAACAACACACATTATATACACAAACATGTTTTCTTTTAAGTAAACTCTTTTTGAAAAAGAAGTTTGACACAAATTTGATCAGTTTTTCCAGCAAATTTAAAAAAAAAATTTCTCATTGAAATTCAACCATTTTTATCTACTAATTGCAATTCAATTGTATAACAATATAGAGGAAAGAAACAGATAAGTGTGTTTTTTGTTGACTTGGTTTGTTATATGCCTGTTTACATCACCTTCTGTATTAATTATAATATTTAAGCACCAATTATGTCTAATTACTTATAGAAAAACTCCTTTGTTCTTACCTTTTTCTTGTCCTGAAACAAGGTGTGCTCCCTACGAGATTTGGATCAGACTCTACTTTAGTCAGGGAACCAGTCTTATTTCCTCCTATCACAATACTTGTTGCCTGAGACAGCTGTGATATTCCTACTGTTTTATTTTCTACCTGTAAAAATTGTGATATCCCATGTGTTTTGTCGACAGTGGCCTGTGATATCCTATGAGTTTTGTTACCAGTGGCCTGTGATTTATCTATTAGAACCTTAGTAACTGTCGAAGAAATGTTCTCTTGTTTTTCATCCGGCATATCATCTTCTACTTTTGAGTTATTTGTGAGAAAATTTTCATCATGACTTAGGTCATCCTCTTCAGCTATATAAAAGTAATAAAAATTATTATCAAACAAGAATGTATGCATTGGCATGGTAGGCACAGGGGGGTCTCAACATTGGATTTTGGGTACAGTTGCGCAGCTGGGATTTAAAAAACACCCCCCATTCATATATTGAATAATTGTGAAATCCCTACCTATTCATATATTTATCAGCTCAAATAGTACCTAAATATGTCACAATTGGTCCATTACTACCTATTGATATATTTCCTCGGTAAAATTGCACCCCATTGATATATCTGACGTACCAAAAAAGGGACCCATTCCAGCGGCACATATGTATATACCTTCATATAGGAAGAGACCCCCCCCCCCCCGTGATGGTAGGCACACCCCCCACTTGTAATTTTAAGTAAGGGAAACAGGAAGTAGGTATCTGACAGAATTGAAAAACACAAAAACATTAAAACTCATCATTGCCAAGCTGCCTTCCTAATATGAAGTGATGCTGTACATTATCTTGGGAGAAATGTGTGACAAAAACATTCAAAGTTCATCAATACATTGAAAATTTATTAGTATCAGTAAATAGAATGAAAGTACCTGACAAACCAGAAAAATTATCACAAGTTTCAGCGGATCATTGTCAAGCTGCTGACTGAATATGAAGTCTATTAAATTTTATAGCAAAAAGTGTGAGGAAATATTAATTGAATGAACAGATGGACAGACAATGTGAATACAAGAGCCCATAATCCTAGATAGAGGATATAATAATTCATTAATAGACTTGAAAGGTGAGATAATTTATACATAAGACACTTATAAAGCAACATAAGTTATACAAATGAAAAAGAATCAGACATACTTTTAATACATTTGAAATGAAAGATGAAACATTTTTTTCATTAAAACTATTTCCTTTTACCAGAACAAAATATCACCTATTAATAAACTTACTTTTAGTGAGCAAGCTATTATACCTCTCTCCCCATAAATATACAGGGGGTAAGCTTATAATGACCTGATAGCATAGTTCTTTCTGTTTTCTTTAAAGACTGTTTTTTTTCTGTTAATACTATAAAGTATTCATATTCCGTAATATTTCAGAAAATTTAAAGGATAAATGCATTATTTTTTTTTTTAATTTTCAGTTTAAGTTTAACATATTGCAGCTGTATGCAATATTTGACAAAAATCTGTGACATGACCCATTTACTGTAAATTGACCATAATTCTATAAAACTTTAATTTGACCACCCTTCTGTTAAACTTGTAAACTAATATTAGTACTATTCATACCAGTTATCTTCATTGTGTCTGGTATCTGCAGTTTTCTGAAATACAAATAAAAAAATTATTTTTATTAAATTATAGGGGCATTAGCTACAAGATATAGAAAAAAATTAAATTATGATTTTTTTTTGTTAAATCATTAATGAAAGTGAAATAGTGAAGTAATAATTTGCTTTTAGCAGACAGTTTAGTTCAATTTTGTCAAAATAAGCTAAGAAACATCACTGATGAATTATTCACTTGCAAGTGAATAATTCGACCTCATTAAATCTGTATTCCTGTGACCTTCAATTTAACCCATTAGCTAGAATTGGTTATGCATGTATTAGTCGTATTCAGCAATTTAAAGGAAAAGAATGTCAACATTTAAAGTGGAACAAAGGTGAACCATTTTGTTGACTGATTTGATCCACAAAAAATCATTCTTTTACAGGTAAAAACGATGATTAACTTATTTTTTAAACCTTTAGTTGAAATCAAACAGACCTAGAAAAGTCCAATTGCACGAGGTCGCTTACCTATTTATATCTATATTTATGTTTATATCGGGTTATGTGACCGTCGGCAGTCTACAGAGGTCATCTCGATGGCTAATTAGATGGCGTCTGGACTAAAATACACACAAAATGCTGATATATATTATCTAGTCCACGCATTGTTAATGTTTTATTTCAGACTTCAGTGGACTTGTAATTTGGATGTAAATGTTTTAGTATGTTATAAATCAAATTTGAGAATTTGAGTCAAATAGGTGAACTTAAATTTGACAGCTAATGCCCCTTTTATGTAATGAAAGAACAATATAATTATTCTTTTTTCATAAATTCCTCATTTTCCAAATCGTACATGAGCATTCAATAAAATGAGACTACACAGTGTTTATTGCAAGTGATTTACAAAAATTAGATGAACTTGAAAAATCTAAAGCTACTGTAAATTCTGGAATTTTACATGACTTTATTATTGCAGTTGAACAATGGACCAAAAATAGAGATAAAATTTTTACAATTTCAGGAAAATGCTGAATAAAAATAATGCTTTCAATAGTTAATATACAAGTTTTTACTTGGGTGAAACCTTCTTGTCCAAATTTTCGCAATAATCAAAATATTGCAAAAATTTCTCAATTTACAGTATGCTGTATTTCCCAGATATGGATTGATTGATTGATTGATTGTTATTTACCATCAAACAGTACTTTATAAGTGCCATTTTTCAAAGTAGGTAAAAAGTGTACAATGAAACCTAATATTTTAGACATTTTGTTTCTTCATTCATTATATATGTTTAAAAGCAGTTTTATGCAAACAGCATTTTAAAATAAATTACTTTTGAAATTATTAAGAATTCTGAATATAGGGTGTGAGAGTGTTTTTACCTTTGATTTGTTTCCCGTTCAGCTTCCATTGATTCCTCAGAAGGAAAATGTATATCTTCAGTAACTTCATTCAAAGTGTTTTCTGACTCATTTGTAGTTACATCAGAAGATTTGTTTCCTACAGATTTCCGTACAGATCTCAAAATATATTTTTTGTTCTCTGAAACTGCTTTCTTCCCTTTTTTTCTCTTTGTGGTCTTTGTTTTGACTTTACTGTCCTCTTTATTTGTCTCAACGATCCCTTCAGTGCTGCAATCATGAATATCAGTGTTTGTCACAGAATGATTGGTTGATTTATCTTTAGATCTTTCTACTGCTTTAGACTGCTCATCTTTCTTCAAATTTTCATGACTATCGTTTAACTGCAGTGATGTGTCAGTGTTTGTCACAGAATGATTGGTTGATTTATCTTTAGATCTTTCTACTGCTTTAGACTGCTTATCTTTCTTCAAATTTTCATGACTATCGTTTAACTGCAGTGATGTGTCAGTGTTTGTCACAGAATGGTTGGTCCATTTACCTTTAGATTTTTTTGCTGCTTTAGACTGCTTATCTTTCTTCAAATTTTCATTACTATTGTTTAACTGCAGTGATGTGTCAGTATTTGTCACAGAATGATTGGCCCATTTACCTTTAGATCTTTTAGTCACTTTCAACTGCTTATTTATCTTCAAATTTTCATTACTATCATTCAAGGATAGTTCTTTTTTACTACTAGATGTATTGGAAACTTCTGTATTTGTAGAATTTTTCGTAGATTCAACATTTTCAGCTGTGCCTTTCAATAACTGTGTTTGTTTGCTTTTTTTCCCTTGTTTTTGTTTGTTATTTTTCCCCGTCATCATAGACCCTGTTGATTTTCTATAAGTTTTTCCTACAACAGATTCATCCAGGACACTATTATCCACTGTGATCATACTTTTTGTTCCTTTTCTCATAGATTTTTGTTTAAGAGATTTGTTTTCTACCGAATCATTGTCATCGTCAACCATCATCACCGAATCTTGTGAATCGAAAGATAGATCTGGAAATACAAATGATTTATGTGTAGTAGTATTGTGTGTTTTATTTCTGTGTTCAGTATATGTTTCATTTTTAAGTGTATTATCATTAATTTCAGCATGAGGAATTACAGAACTAGTTCTAGATTCTGTATGGTGTGTTGTGTCACCTGACAATGAGGACTCTGGGAGTGATATTCTATTGTCTGTTCTATTTGTTGACACTTCTAATTCCTTTTTATTTGATTTATTCAGTAGTTTGTCAGCCAGTGAAGATGGTATCAATGGCCCTGGTGGAATATCATAATGTCTTATAGATTTTTTTCTAGAAGACGTTGTATTTTCTGATCCTGTCAACACTTTTGTATGATCTTGACATTCACTCGTATCTTGTTTGCCAAAACTTTCTACTGATTTATATGATCTCATGTCAGTAGCATTACTATGATCATTACAGGTGACCTCTGACCTTAAATTCTGAAGGTTATTCTGTAATGATTCCCCTTGTTGCTTAAGTAAAGATGATTGCAGCATTGTTTGTCTTGACAATGACTCCTGATAGTTTTCCCCTCCATCTGAAGATAACTCCTGACTCTCATGTCTACTATTTAATAATTCCTGGTTCTTGTGACCTTGATCGTCACATTCTGGTAATTCCTGGTCCCCTTCTTTGTCTGATAAATCATTGGATACTTCCTTAACGTGAGATGAGTGGTGAATTTCAGTGTCAGAGGTCTCATCATTTTGTTGCCCATTAACAGATTTTTCTGAAACAGATAAATGACTTTTTGAACCAGAAGTAAGGCCTCTGTTTGATTCTGACGAACTATTTTCCATACCTAAAGATGAATGTTCACTTAAATTTCTAGTTGAGAGAGATGATTGTTCACTTAATTCAGGCATTACATTTTCTTTTCCTGGAGATGAATGTTCACTTAAATGTTCTGTTGAAAGAGATGAATGTTCACAAGATTCAGGAGTTAGATTTTCTTTTTCCAGAGATGAATGCTCATCACCGTCTAGACTTGAGTTATCCTTATCAGATAACGCATCATCTTCTCTTGATTTGTGGTTAACAGACAAATCACTTTCATTTGACAGATTATTCTTTCCTGAAGATAAACTTTTTCTTTTACTTTTATTCAATATCTTCTCAGGGGATACCAACTGGGAGGTCTGACTTTTTTCTGTTAGAACTGACAAAGTTTTCCTCTGAAGCCCAGTCTTGGTTGGACTGTCATCTGGAAGCTGTGGTAGAAACTCAGCTATTCTAGAATCTTCCTTGGCACAGTAAGTATCATCCTTACTACTGCCGTCACTTAAGTCAGACTGTAGTGTTGATCCTGTAATAAAGGTCAAGCAAAATAATGTCACAATACTTTTCATACTTTTAGAATATGTTGGTAGTTACATATACCAAAGAATGAATCAAAACCAGGACTATATATTGTAATGTCATGAACATGTGCTGTTATCCTAGTGATAAGGTTTCTTACAATTCACTTTAAGATAAAAAATACTTGTGTCATTGAGTATACCCAAAATATGAACTTAAAGCAGATTGTTTTTGGTAATAATGTTAGCTATGAAAAATTTCTTTTGAATTGGAAGAGAAAGTGTTATTCTATAGATATATTTTCTGAGACAAGCATAACTTATCAAGATAAAAATAATAACCTTACCTTCAGATTCTGTTGTTTCTGGATTCCTGGAATGTTTAAAATCAATACTTAATAAGGGTCATTGTTATAGATATATATCATTCAATAACAATTACCTTTTAGTATTTATGTCAAATATTTTTGACCATAATTTAATAAAAATAGCTGAAAGATTTTTAAAATCTTATAATCTTGTACTGATTTGAAAAATATTGATATTTGTAATTCTACATTTAAATCCTGCATTTCATCCTTGTGCCATGACATTAAGTTTTATACACATTAATCTTCCCTTTACATAATTTAAACCTTATCTATTTATTCTTTACCTCTTCCCTAATGATTTTAAGATGATATACAGACAATCTTAATCCTTCTTTTCGAATGATCTGCAAAAAGATGTGTTCTTTCCATGTGACGTCATCATGACGTCAGAGGAAAGCAAGAAAATTTGATGTCATCAAATTTAGATCAATGAAGAACTGAGATCAAACAAACCACAAGTTGAATAAAAATAATCAACATGTCAGGAAAAGGATAAATTGGGTAAGAAATAGAGAAATAAATTATCTACTTTATAATGAAATATCATCCGATGTTTAGATCAATGTCTTATTGATGAAGCATTAATATACTTACATATCTGATTCAGAGTCTTGGTTATGCTTAAAATCCTGTAAAATATTAATGTCTTTATTAAACTTAGTTGTTACTGCTTAATTCATTTTATGACTTGAAACTCTTTGTACCAAGACTTAACACAGTTGATGTGGGAAGCCTTCACTAAATAATACTCTTGGAAAAAACAATTGGTAATAGGAGATACTAAAATAGTTGAAATCTCAAAGATCTAATTTATTCCCGATACAATTTCATGTCCCAAGTCAGGAGGAGCCCTTTCAGTGGTTGTCTTGTTGCATCTTAATGTTTTTGTCCTTTTTGAAATTTGGTGTTGATGGATCTTTCAGTCTGTATTTGATTTATTCAGAACTTTATAGATTCCATGTAATTTAGATGTATTGAATATATATGTCAATTGTTGACATTGATATTTTGACTACTCAATGTCTTTTGGATCTGGTTTTGTAGGAAAACAAAAGTTTGAAAGTCAACAATGTGAAACTTTTGAAAGCCTCAAACCTAAAGAACTTATAAAGGAACTTCAAAAACTGTATAAGGCACTCTTTACTCCTATACTTAACCTTTATGTCTCAAGATTAAATAGAGCAATACTTTTTACCAAAATATATACAAAAAATCAATTCATTTTACAGTGATAGCCATAAAAGACGCCCATTTTACCAAGATTATTTAATATAAAGTTATGGTGGGAATATTGATCATTTGACTGCACCATGAGATATAGTTTTAAACTAAATACACTAGGAATAAAAATGACCACTGCAATTTCCAGGGCCTAGTGTTTTTAGTGAAAATTTGTCAAAAGACAACAAACATAAAGTGAAACTAGACATGCTTCAAGCCATTTTTAGGAGTGGAAATTTTCAAAGTCCAAATCCCTTTATTTCGGCAAGAAACAGTAGAGAGGAACCAAAACATAAACTCTATCTGTAACTCATCAGAGTTGTCTCACATACAAAAAATAAGCTCAATATGTGAAGGCGTTAAGATAAAAAGTCTGTATAATTGTTATTTTTCACAAAAGTCCAAAACCCGTAATTTCTGCAAAAATCAGCAGATTAGAAACCAAACATAACTCAATCTGTAATTGATCAAGCAGACTCATATACAAAAAATCAGCTCAATATGTAAAGGTGTTTAAAAGTCTGTATAACTGATTGTTGCAGAATGACAGAATGACGGATAAGGGTAACACTATATGGCCATGATCTAAGTCGGCAGGGCCATAAAAAAAGGCTTTTCTGGACAGATGAGTTTATAATTACAAAACTAATAATGTGTTTAAATTTAAGTTTGCTGTCGATCTTTGAAAAAAAAATCAACATATATATAAAAAAAACCAAATCTTCTTTGAAAATAGTACAGAAAAGTCTTTTTTAATATTTGGATTTGTTACATCCAAGAAAAGAAAATGTGAGTGTATAATGTTAAATGAAATAAACATTTGATAGCAATTCAGTATTCAAAGTACAATGCTACCTACCTTGGAAGGAACGATAGGTGTTTCTATTGTTTTATCATTTATTCTGGATAACATCAAACTATCTGCCTCTGTCAATAAATAATACAAAGATCATGATTTTAAAAATTGATCACCATAAAAAATACAAAAAGCAGGAAATAAAAGACTCGTTCAAAAAGTATCTTTTTTTATATGATTCTACATTGGCCATCTGTTCGTTTCCTGAAATGTTTAAATATTGGTGACCTATTAATGATGTACATACAATTAGCATACAATCAGTCTATGGTCTAGTGGTAAAGATATAGATTCGAGTGTAGAAGGTTATGGATTCAATTTTAGGTCAAACCAAAGACTGTTATAGAAATTTGCTGAATGACAGTTTTGCAGGAAGTCAGAAATATATCTAAGGAAGGTGGCAAATCTTTCTGTAAGCTGTTAACTAGTGATCTAGTACTGGTAGTTTGAAATCTAACTAATCATGTCAGTCAGTCTTCAACAAAGAAGAGTGTCTTCATGTGATCATGTTATTCTCATAAATATATATGTAATATTTGTAAAAGGATGTTAAACAGCCATCAATCAATCAATCAACTATAAATTGTACTTCACATCAATTTGTACAACATTTATTTCTACACCTCTTATTTTACTATGTGCAGAGGTGGATTTAGGGCAGTGACTCCTTTATGAAGCTGCATATATGGTTTATGCATAGACTTTTTGCAAGTCCCACTCCTAATACTGCATTTTTGACATCACTATATAAAATGTCCTGACTTACCAGATTCTGACCAGTAATCATCAAACACCTCAAATCCATCAGGTCCCTTACGAATAACTTTTCCCGCTTTAATATCTTTACCGGTCCTCCTACATTAAAACAAAATGTCTCCTTCAATAAATCATGAAATAACAATGTTTCATAATCTTCACAGATGCACTCTGGGTAATTGTTAAAACACTATTACAGGCATAAAAAAATGAATTTTCAACTCTGTTGCTATTTATGAAAATTAATAAATCTGCATTCATGTAAGGAAACAACAAATCATTAAAATTCATGTAAGCTCTATAATGATCATCTTTCAAGATAAAAATCATAATAACATACATTAAACAAAACGTGAACCTACCTTCCATAGTTTTTATTATGTAACCATCCAACTGGATTATAACTGCTGTTTGATACCTGTAAAAGATATTTATTTATTGTACTGACATGATTAATAACAAACCTTTCTGAAGTTGTCCTTTTATAAATTTTAAAATTATATCATACATTTTAAAATCATAAAGAAACTAAGGTTTCAACTCCCTCCGGCAAATTTGACCTTAGATTTATTTGGCTATTTTTTAAGTACTTCTTGGTTATATAGCTCGTCGACTGTTTCAGTTCTAATACATCCTTGGCTTTCAAATATTCGGTTTTGAGCGTTCCTGATGAAGGTAAATCCAGAAAAGCGATTCGGATGCATGAAATTAATAACGTGTTGTTTTCATTTTTTATCAAGTGTGTACTACTTAAAATAAAACTTGACAGTTGCTGAGAATAACTAATCAATTTCATCAAGATAATGTTTGGGGACATTATAAATTTATTATAGGTCTATTTTAAATAGTTGGTTAAGCTTTGTACAGATCTGAACAGAATAAAAGTAGAGTGCATTCTATCAAACTGAAGTTAGTACATGTAGTACAATCAAATATTTCTTAGTGCAATCAACAGTTAAAAGTTAATGTTCTTTACTAAGCAATGGATTATTAAGCTTAAATAGTTGATAGTTTCAATGAAAATTTTGTGTAACATCTTTAAAACCACTGTACCATTTTTCAAAAGAAAGCTATAATTTTTTTGTAGAAAAAAGTTATAATTATAATGCTATTGTATACCATATCAGAGTTTGCAGAACAAATAAACATGTTTAACCCTGCCACATTCTTTATGTGCCTGTCCCAAGTCAGGAGCCTGTAGTTCAGTGGTTGTCGTTGGTTCATGTCTGTCATATTTGTTTTTTTCGTAAATTGTTTTGTTATCAATTAGGCCGTTAGTTTTCTCAATTGAATTGTATTATATTTTTCCTGTCAAGGCCTTTTATAGCCAACTCATTGTTGAAGGCTGTACGGTTGCCTATAATTGCTTACATCGACTTCATTTGAACTTGGGTGGATAGTTGTTTCATTGGCAATCATACCACATCTCCTTATTTTTATATATGTACGTAAATTGCAGTTAAAAATCTTTACCTCCTTAAGTTTCTTGCGTTGTTGCTTTGCTGTCTGTTCAATGTTTACAGTTCTCCAAATGGTTGACATTTATTTAGTTATGCATCTGACAGGGCAATTCTCACTTTTTAAGTTACCTTAGAATTGACAGAAGATTCAATGATCTGTAAAAGCATCCAATTCTTTTTCTTGTGGCCATGTGTCTGAAAGGCCCATTCTGACTTTTTTTGAGTTACCTTAGAATTGACAGAGGAGGCAACAGATCTGTAAGATGAAGTGTTCCTATTTCTGGTAGACATGTGACTGACAGGAGCAGGCTGACTTTGTACTTTTAGTTACCTTAGAATTGACAGAAGAGGCAACAGATCTGTAAGAGGAAGTGTTCCTATTTCTGGTAGACATGTGACTGACAGGAGCAGGCTGACTTTGTACTTTTAGTTACCTTAGAATTGACTGAGGAGACAACAGATCTGTAAGAGGAAGTGTTCCTATTTCTGGTAGACATGTGACTGACAGGCCCATTCTGACTTTTTTTAGTTACCTTAGAATTGACAGAGGAGGCAACAGATCTGTAAGAGGAAGTGTTCCTATTTCTAGTAGACATGTGACTGACAGGAGCAGGCTGACTTTGAACAATTCTGTCATCCTCTATAACTTTGGCATGTTTGGCCTGAATAGAGGATCTGTGTAATTCTGATGTTACCTTCAGATATAATAAAAATACTTTGCTTAGAAATATATTTTATAACTTGTTTACAATGTTTTCTAAAATATTTACCACTTACCTAAATTAAAAGTTAGAACGAAAGTGAAATAAATTAGCCCAGGTTCCACATTCTATAGATGGATTGGACGAATATTTGTTTTATGTGAAAATTGACAAATATTGAATGCAGTCTTTATATTATATATCATTTAACAGTAATTTGAGGAAGACAAAACAATCTTTTGAATGAATTTGATTTTTAAACTACATTCACATCATTAATGTATTTGATTGCAAATAGCACTGCCCTTTCCTGGATCTTGATATCTATATCTTTAAAGGGAAGCTTAATACCAAAATTTATGATAAAAGAGATGATTTTTCATTTCCTATTGTTAATTATCCATTTTTAGATGGTGACATTCCCTTGTCACCATCTTATAGTGTTTATATATCTCAACTTGTTCGATTCGCTCGTGTATGTAACAACGTATTTGATTTCAACGAAAGAAATCTCTGTATTACTGAAAAATTATTACACCAGGGTTTTTGATATCACAAACTAGTCTAAACATTTACTAAATTTTATCATCGGTACAAGGACATCATTCGTAAATATAAATCAACATGCAGACATCTTATACATTCAGGTACTTCACATCCAATATTTTATGGTAATATTCTTTACAAAGCACAAAAATGTCGCCATTCACCACAAAAGCTAACCAAACCTTTAAACAGACTTATTCGGAAGGGATATAGTTACTGTACTGTTGTCAAGTCATTAAGGATTGCATATTTTGGTATTAATATTGATTCACTCATTGGGTCTTTGCATCGGAAATAAACACATTTATTCTAAAACCAGTTGTTGGCATGATACGGGTTATGTTCTTCTCATATATTTTATGATGGTATGATACTAAACCCCTAACGGGAGGGATTGTACATGATTTTCATATGATGAAGACATAATCTTTCAATCAGTTTAATTGAGGTCTGGAGCTGGCATGTCAGTAACTGCTAGTAGTCCTTTGTTAATTTATGTATCATTGTCATTTTGCTTAGTTTCTTTTGTTACCTATTCTGACATCGGACTCGGCCTTCTTTTAAACTGAGTTTTACTGTGCGTATTGCTATGTGTTTCTTTATTCTACATTGGCTAGAGGTATAGGGAGAGGGTTGAGATATCACAAAACATGTTTAACCCCGCTGCATTTTTGCGCCTGTCCCAAGTCAGGAGCCTCTGGCCTTTGTTAGTCTTGTATGTTTTTTTAATTTTAGTTCCTTTATGTTTTGGAATTTAGTGTGACATCCATTTTCACTGAACCAGTACACAATTTGTTTTAGGGGCCAGCTGAGGACCACCTTGGGTTGCGGGATTTTCTCGCTGCTTTGAAGACCCATTGGTGGCCTTCGGCTGTTATCTGCTCTTTGGTCGGGTTGTTGTCTCTTTGACATATTCCCCATTTCCATTCTCAATTTTATTAGGTTGTTCTGTTTCAATTGATTTGGTTTATTTTGACACAAATAATTCATTCTCAACTTTTGGAATCCAGCATACCTAATGATAAAGAATATGTATTGTGTCTATCAAATGTATTATTACTCTGTATGCTTATTCTTTCCAATGTAATTGAATAAATCATACTTACTTATTCCTTTCAAAGCAATTGAATAACAAAGTTATTGCTGAGCAAGGTTTTTTCCAGTTTTTTTTTAATCAAGAATAAAAAAGGTTAAAATAGTTGAAATTAAGATTTTTTTACATATAGTGTAGTTATATCCATATCTCTAAGTATCTACTAAACAGAACCTGTATTTGTAGTCATTTTTGTTTTAAAGAAAGTGAATTAATACACACAGTAGTATTTTTGTTGTTTTTTACAATCTGAATTAAAAACACTTTTACCTCAGGTGTATCACATGTACTATGCCTGGATATCATCAAACTGTCTGCATCTACACAAATATATATCTGTCATTATAAATAATGTACCATTATATCAAAAAATCATAAGTTATGAGTTAGGAAATCAGTTTTTAGGTTTATTAAAGTAATCACAGATTACAGAGAGGGTGTTTCTCAGCTACAATCTTATTGAAAGGCGACAGCCCTGAGATGAGATGTGCCCCAGAAACATCCTAGAGTTTGAAGACCGTTGATAATCTGTTTATTTTGCCTATGACGTCGTGGATGTTTACATTGAAAACGTCACATGGGCCCTTAGTTTCTAACGATAATTTCTATCTCAAGCAAGTAGCATGATATGAAAAATTATCACAAAAAAAGATCAAAAGAAAAATACACAAAATAATGATAACGTCTTTTACAATGATTGATTGCTGCTTGCCTTATGTCCGGTGGCAAATATCTTCCAACAAAGAAGATCTCATTCTGTGTTACAACAGATATATTTACATCTTCAGGATATTATTTTCTTTAAAGGAAATATAAACAAGAATGTGTCCATAGTACACGGATGCCCCACTCACACTATCATTTTCTATGTTCAGTGGACAGTGAATTTGGGGTCAAAACTCTAATTTGGCATTAAAATTAGAAAGATCATATCATAGGAAACATGTGTACTAAGTTTCAAGTTGATTGGACTTCAACTTTAGCAAAAACTACCTTGACCAAAAACTTTAACCTGACTTGACCAAAAACTTTAACCTGAAGCCGGACAGACGGACGGATGGACGAACAGACGGACGATCAGAGGCACAGACCAGAAAACATAATGCCCCTACTACTATCGTAGGTGGGGCATAAAAAGTATTATCCAGAAGATCCCTTGCACAACTCTTACTAACAAAAAAAATAGTGTTTTTTTTTACACAAAAGTATATCCTTAATGCTTATCTGTCCCCAATAACTGATGACATCTATGGTATTCTTACTTCATGCAGATAGGTCAAGAATTTACTGGAGACATGTAGTACTTTACCTGTGTAATAACAGATCATGCTTTTCCTTCCTAAGTTATGACTTAACCACTGGCAATCAAACTTGTAAATCTTGGCATAGTTTAAGCTAACACTTTCTTACTGAGTTAGGGAATACTTCTAATACCAAACTAAAGCAGCCAATGGAAGGCCGCTTTAAATGTATTAGATTAACCAAAGAATCCCTACACATGTAAGATTACCTGATTCTGACCAATAATCTTCAAACACTTCAAATCCATCAGGTCGCTTTCGAATATTCTTTCCTGCTTTTATATCAAGACCTGTCCTCCTGTAAGACAATAAACATTTATTGTATTCATGCTCATGTAAAGGTTCATGTAATATTTTTGTATTTTCACAGGAAGACATTTTATCTTTGATGATTTTTTCCAATCTTTGTCCCCAACCCCTTGAATCTATCCCTGAAAACTTACATTGCAACCAGGGAAGGCACTTTAAAAATAGTGTAACCACCCATAGAAGCAATTATAGTGACCTGCATACAGTTTAAACATGTTATCACATCCACCCATATAAGTAAATTCAAGTTGTCTTCCCTGGGTCCCATGTATGTTTTTATAGAAGTCCTGATCATTTTTTGCTATTTCATTTTCCCTCTAGCTTCTATAGTTTCTAGAAGAAAACACAATTTGACAAAATGGGTAGATATTGTGATTGGAGGGCAATAACTTTAATAAGGAGAGGACTGATTATTTAGGCCGTTCCACTTATTTGTAAATTTTGTCCTGCTGATCATTTTTACAAGGTACAGTTAAGTTTTTTTTAAGATAAAATCTTTTAATTGGTAAAAAATTGCCAATGTCCAAGTTCACAATCAATTCTGCACAACTCAATATCAATTTCTGAGAGACGTGGTTCTAAATCATAATATGGAAATTAACAGGACATTTCTTTGGTTTTTTTTCGATGATTTAAAAATTGAGCCTGATATACATGATTTGATTTTCATATGTTACAATGTACATACAAAAATATAACTCTAGTTATACAAATACTACAACTTTTGAACATTATTTACTATACCTTCCATAATTTTTATTGTGTAACCAACCCACAGGGTTATAACTACTGGTACTGCTAGAAACCTGAAATCAAAGGAAATGTATCAAAGATGACAAACATCAGAAATATTATTTATTTTTAATCTAATCCACTGGATTCTTTATCAACAAAGTAAGGATGTTATAGAAAGGCAGTTTTATAATAATCAAACATTATAAAGTGTTCCATAGTTTTATAATAATCAAACATTATAGTGTTCCATAGTTTTATAATAATCAAACATTATAAAATGTTCCATAGTTTTTGTTTTATAATAACCAAACATTATAAATTGTTCCATAGTTTTATAATAATCAAACATTATAAAGTGTTCCATAGTTTTATAATAACAAAACATTTATATAAAGTGTTCCATAGTTTTATAATAATCAAACATTATAAAGTGTTCCATAGTTTTATAATAATCAAACATTATAAAGTGTTCCATAGTTTTATAATAATCAAACATTATAAAGTGTTCCATAGTTAAATAATAATCAAACATTATAAAGTGTTCCATATATAGTTAAATAATAATCAAACATTATAAAGTGTTCCACGAAACTGCTGCTGTCAATGTAAGAGTGTAATGACTACAAAAACTAGGTTCATTTTAGCAGTAAAATACAGAAAAATGAATAAAAGCAAATTTCAAATTTTGCTCAGGATGCTGGCTCTTGATTAATTATAAAGCAGCCATGTGTGACTTAAAAGACCAGACTTCATATATATCTATATGTACCTTAGAATTGACAGAAGAGACAACAGATCTGTAAGAGGAAGTGTTTCTATTTCTGGTAGACATGCGACTGCTAGGGGCAGGCTGGCTTTGAATAATCCGGTTGTCTTCCACATCTTTAGTGAATTTGTGAGACTCTACAGATGATCTATGTAAACTCAAGCTGGATTCAGCATCTAAATAAATTAGATTTTTTTTTTCTTAATAAACTATATTATGTCGGCAGATAATTCAGAAAAAAAAACCAATCTGATGGACAGCAACATTACTAATGAATTCAAAGTTGCTGGACCATGATTGACATAGCGAGCAGCTCGTCAAAATGATTGTCAAACTGAGATGTACTGATGGCAACACAACTTTATAGAAAATATCATTGTCTAGACTATCATAAGGAGTTCCTATCAAAATAATTTAAGCAGAAAACTTAACATTGAAAATTGGAAATTAATTGAGCCACTGGTCCATGACCAGGGCCTTGAAATAGTCTTCAAACTGATATGTACTGATAGTAATGTGACTTTATAGGTAATATCATTGATCTATCACAAGTAGATCCTATCAAACTAACTTAAGCAGAAAACTTCACATTGAAAATTGCTAATTAATAGAAGTCACTGAACCTTGACCCAGGGGACAGGGCCTAGAAATAATTGCCAAACTGATATGTGCTGATAGTAAAGCAGCTTTATAGAAAATATAATTGAACTATCAAAAGTAGTTCCTACAAAACTAGAGATATGTAACCTGAACCATAGTTACATTTCTAATTTCTAGTTTCCCTCAAAAAGGCACAGTCAGACTGTGTTGAATCAGTAAACTAAATATAATATGAAAATAACACTCTGCATTTTCCATGGCAAGTAGATCTATCACTTAGTACTACTAGTTTTTACCAACCTGATTCTGAAAAATAATCATCTATTACTTCATATCCATCTTTGTCTCTGTTGATTACTTTACCAGATTTTAGCACCGGTCTTCCAGATCTCCTGTAAAAGAAATATTTGTAAAATAATAATTATTAAAACCAGGTCTGGTTATAATTTGAATAAATAATCTAATCCTTTTGCAAGGGAAGCACCATACCCTCTGCATGTTAAGGAAGATTTTTAACAACTCTTTCGGCTGTGTATGTTGCCTATCCAGCATACTTTTTTCTCGGTTGCATTTCAAATTTCCTTCCCTTTATCCTGAATGATGTACTTCACAGAACCTTCCTATTAGATATATTTCTCAATTCTCATCCTGAATATGCATGAAAATGTTTGCCCCTGGAATTATGCAAACAACAATTAATTGATATTGAAGGAATTTTTTTAATTTAATATAAAGGTCAAACTTTGATATGTGGAAAACTCTGATGTCAAGGTATTTTGTCAGACACAGTATAAGTTGGGGCAAAATCCTTCATTCTTAAAGATTATCATTATGTACATATTGTGAATCAAGTTCACTGAAAACTGATTTTGTATCTCTGTAACATGTTGATGCTATGAAAGTATATGTATAATATTCATCAGATCACAATGATATAATCTTACAATCTGTAACATGTTGATGCTATGAAAGTATATGTATAATATTCATCAGATCACAATGATATAATCTTACAAGCCTCTATTCTTCCTCTTCAGTGGATTCACAAAGAACTCTTTCCCTGCCTATAAAAAAGGAAATACAAGATATTAACTAACAGTTAGAACAAATCAAAGCACTGTAAGCGCTGTAGGCAGTTAACCAAAAACCAAGGCAAACGTAATTATGAAAACTGTGGCAGTGTTGCTTCAATTTTTTTTTTAAGACTTGAAAGAACAAACATCAAACATTCGTATATTGTACATTTATGTTCATTAAATGAATTGATTATTAAGGCAAATCAATTAATATTTCATCAAGGTTTTCAAAAGCAACTCATATATCAATGTAAATGACCCCCATGTTCACCCCCAAGTGCATGATGTTACTCCATACCAAGTTTGGAATAAAATGACAGGTAATTATAAAACAGTTGGTCAAACATTCTCGGGCTTTACACTGCTTGAAAGATTTATGTTTTCTTTAAAATGAGCCATAAATGAAAATTATTATAGGCCCAGAAATAATTTAATAAATAATTAAAGTAAATTCAATTAACCTAGACTCATTGTTTGCATCAATAAAATTTTATAATAAACAAGAATTAATTGTAACAGGATGCCGTTACGAAGTCTCCCAAACAAAGCCCCCATAATTCGTCATTCCCATGGTCTCCTGACATTGGGCAAAGTCCAGTTCATATTGGTTTGGTCTAGTAAAGTGATATGCATATGTGACACCTAGGATATTGACCCTGTATGTCATTCAAATCTTTTTGAAATGATTAACAGGAATAAATATGGTTTAGGTGTGGGTATCTCGACCGTTTACAAGTTCTCAAACAGGAGGGGGTGGGGTGACCCCAGGGACTCCCCCTATATTTCATTTGATTTGTTATATTGTCCCATACATGAATACATATGGTTTAGGGGTGGGGATCTTGACCATTTCCAAGTTCTCAAACAAGAGGGGGTGGGTGACCCCAGGGACTCCCCAAATATTTCATTTGATTTGTTATATTGTCCCATACATGAATATATATGGTTTAGGGGTGGGGATCTTGACTGTTTACAAGTTCTCAAACAGGAGGGGATGGGTGTCCCCAGGGACTCCCCCTATATTTCATTAAATTTGTTTTATTGTCCCATACATGAATGTATATGGTTTAGGGGTGGGGATCTTAACCATTTCCAAGTTCTCAAACAGGAGGGGTTGGGGTGACTCCAGAGACTCCCCATATATTTCATTTGATTTGTTAAATTGTCCCATACATGAATATTTATGGTTTAGGGGTGGGGATCTCGACCGTTTACAAGTTCTCAAACAACAGGGGGTGGGGTGACCCCAGGGACTCCCCCTATATTTCATTTGATTTGTTATATTGTCCAATACATGAATATATATGGTTTAGGTGTGTGGATCTCGACCATTTCCAAGTTCTCAAACAGGAGGGGGTGGGACGACACCCGGGACTCCCCCAAATTATTTTCATTTGATTTCTTTTATTGTCCCATACAAGTATATATATTGTTTAGGGGTGGGGATCGCGACGGTTTACAAGATAAAAGTACATTTTCAAATTGAAGAGGGTTGTGATGACCCCTAGGGACTCGTCCTATATTTTGGTTGATTTTTTTTATTGTCCTGTTCTCATTACTGAAGACTGCATGTGTCTATCACTTACTGTTTTCGAGAAATAGTCATTTGAAAATTTAAAAAAATAAAATTCCATAGGGTTCTATAGTAAACTCCTCCCTTCTTCAGGCCCCTCCCAATACCCCTAAATAGACCCAAATGCACAAACAAAAGATTAATGGCTCCGCTAGACATGTTAGTCTAATATTTTATGAAACCCTAAGTAAATCTGACAAACGGTCAAAGTTGTCTTCTTAGACGATTTGAGTGGATTCGGTCCGACTTGTCTCGGGGACACATTACTTAAAACATCCCATCAACGTCGATTTCCGCATCTGTTTCATGACGCCGTTTCATGACCTCGTTTCATTCATAAAATAACAACAACCTTATTTGGCAAGATAAGTTAAAAATTACCGCCCATTTATATAACTTTATTTCCTCTATCATAGAGATTTGTTGTACATGAACAATATTCCTGCGCATTTTGCACTTTGGGAAATATAAACGACTTGTAATTACCGATTTTCGGCGATGAAATATTTCTTACAATTGTTCTGTGACATCGTAGCCAAAAGCACAGGGGATAATAAACTACGTACGGATTTCTATTGAGCACTACTTCCTATGTGCAACTTCAAAAGTTTTGGGTAGTTCGACGATCATTTAAGGTTTTTCTGGTCATATTTTTTGTATTCCAGAAATAAAAGTATTAAAAAAATGTCCAATTAGTTATAAATAACATAATAGCCAGCTAGATAATAACAATGGCACGTATTTCAGCATTTATTGGGTAGAACACAAATCTAGGGTGCTCGCATAAGGCAGCTTAACTGCCTAAAAAAACATAGGCTTATAGTAAGTTTTTTATGTTATGATTGTTACAGTGTACATAAATATTATCGATATGCCAACTTTATTAATAATTAACTTACATGTACTTACATTTGTTCTATGAATAAACATAAAAAAAAATAAATATGCATCAACAAATGAATAGTCAATTAGGAATTGCTTTTATTCCTGAATCAAAGGTAATAAATAAGTGATTTATAATAAAATATTATTCACCATAAAATTAGTATAATATTCAATATGTGCTATACATACCTGCTAACTTTTTAAAATCTCCATGGGGGATTTTAAGAGCAATAGGACCTTATGCTCCTCTTATATTGTCATAAGTGTTCTTAATCTACTACTGTATTTTTTAAATGAGTATGTATGTGCTTCAATACCCTTTTAACTCATTTGAATGTCTGTTTAAGTTTTTAAGTTTATATAATATAGAATTTCATAATTCAGGTCAACACCTCTCATGAGGGATATCCCCATAAATCGGGATAGTTGGCAGGTCTAGCTGTACTTAAAAAAATACTTAAAGTGATATACATTTTGTTTTAAAGAATAAATCAGTTTTAAAATTTAAAAAATCTGGGCAACATGACTGAATTCATTGAGCAAATTGAACTGGTGTGAATGGGAATCAGGGCGAAAAAAAGACATCTGAATCTGCTTACACTCCAGGAATTTTTTAAGGCACAAAAATTCAGAGAATTTCCTTAGTGAACTATTCAACTTCAACAATCACACAAAATTATAATGCATTATTAATTCAAATTATGCTTAATGATATGTGTTTAATTATGAACATGTATTTACATGTACTATTCTAAAATAATTAGATCATAGATTAAAATCTATTTACATAAACAATTACAGTCAAATTTCAATTTAAGAGAATCTTTTTCTGTTGTCTGTGCACTATAGAATAGGAAATGGTGGGTCAAAAAATTGAGGAGCAGAGAAAATTATGCCATAAAATTATAAAGTAGGGAATAAAGGGGTGTAAAATAATAATGAATAGAAAATAATGGGGTGTAAAATTACAAAGAAAAGAGAAAACTGGACTTAATAATGGAAGAATACAGAAATGAAGAACCCCTTCCCCCTTTTCCAGATCCTGTACAGTAAATAAAGCAGAATCGTAGACCTCTGTTCAAAGTTAAGTTCAACTATACATATTTATGGAATTAATTTAGAAGATAATAAATGTTGTGAAATGGAAGTCCAAAAACGTGCAAATAGTGATAAATGGAGCAGAGCTGAATAGTGAGAAGCAAGATGATCTAAGCACGTGGAAACATTTTGACTTAGGTAGACTGTAAGAGATGAATTTCTGGTATAGATGTAAATGTTAACTGGGATATTATTATTAAATTAAATAGATGTTTTGCTAGCATATTTAGTAAAACTCGGCAAAAACAATTATTTTCATTTTTCTGTTTGTGTGACTCCGTATAGTTTAGATGTAGGTTTAATTACCATGGTTCAATAAGTTCTTCGCAGTTTTTAATTATTTTTCCCATTTTCAAATTTCCGCCATTCTCAAAATATTCTAAACACCGGACACGATAACCGAATTGTAGAGGAAATCCGCATTTTTTTGTTTTGTTTTTCATCTTAATCAAACAAACGTTTTTGTTTACAGTATTTCATGGATAAGGTTTTTTTTATTGTCGACGACGTTGATGCTAGATATTTTGCAGGGCGGTATCTTCAAACAAGAATAAACACAGGACTTTTCAACAATTCAGTTGAAACTTGAAGAATGAGATCGATTTAATATAGCATATACATAGCCGACTATACGGTTTATATTTTTCTCATTGTTGAAGGTTGTACGGTTGCCTTGCTTGCTTACATCCACTTAATACGTTAATTTGAACTTGGTGGATAGTTGTCTCATTGGCAATCATACCTCATCTCCTTAGTTTTATATGTAAGTCTATATTTACCGGATGAGCTGTATCTTGAAATTCTGTTGAAGTCCATAGTCTCATCAACAGTTCAATACAGTATAATTCGTTGATTTCAAGTGACCAAAAGTTTACATTTTGAACACATGGAACAGGAAGAGGACCTTCCAAATTTTCCAAATGACAGGGCTCACGCTAGCGGCCGACTGGACCAAGGATGCCGCTTTGAAATTAAGAGATAACTGTATTGAATTTGAATAAGAATTGGGTGCGAACGTGTAGGGTGAACGGACCTAGGGGGCGAACGGACCTGATACCGCTTTCATGTATGTCACTTCGCTTTGCCCGACCATCAGCAGCGATATCTAGTCGCCTGAGACTGAGTGTTCACATAAGTCGCTTGCCATGCTTGCTGACAGACTCAATTCAAAGCGGTATCATTAGAACATGATGAAAATTGCCTTTAGTTAATGTTCAATCCTTTCATTGCATTAAAAAGGTCATTTTCCTTTCCAAATCGCTTGTCAAACATTGTTTATTTGCAGAAATTTGTCTTCTATGAAAATTTGTACAAACCACGAATCAGGGGCAGTATTCATCGGAAGAGGATAATCAATGAATGAAATCTGTATTCTTAGAATAATAACCACTGACAGAAGAATAATGATCCCAAAAGTGAAAATTACACATTTTACATGCAATTACAAGACTTTTGGTTAGGTCTCCTTGCTAAATGAATATATTTCCATGTAAATGCATTGTTTCAATTTATCATGTTATTGATTAAAGTTGCTTAAATTTGTTAAATTTACATACTGTAAATTCAGAAATTATTGCATGCATTTAATTTGCGAATTTTGAAGAATGAACTAAATTGCAAGAATAATTTTTGTGATTTTAGGAAAATCTGCATACAATTATATGTATTAGATATCAGAATGAGAGTTTCTATTATCATGATTATTGCGATACTTATTCAGTCACATAATTCGCATTAATAAAAACCTTGCAATAATTTCTGAATTTACATTATCTTTTTAATGAGAAATATAAATGAATTTCTTAAACTTGATAAAAAGAGTAGTTTTTTATATTGAATTTTAATTGATATATATGATACATGTACTTTCTCTTCCTTTTTGATTTAACAAAAAGTTTCTTTTTAGTGCTAGATATTTAGTTTGTAGTTTCTGACAAGCACTTCTCTTTTAAGTCTCACCACTTTTCCCTATCAGTTTCAAAAAGAGAAGTCACTTCTCCCTATGATTCTAAAGTAGTGTGAGTCCTGATTATGAATAATCAAAATGGTGATGTGTCTGGTTTAATTGAAGAAACCTTTTCTCTTCTTGCTACACGAAAGTAAAAACACGGGCAGTATGTCTGTACTCTAAAACTTTGATAAACCTGTAGTGCTGAGAAAGCATGACAATGCAGATTTTGTCTGTTACTGATATTTTAAACTAAAAGTTCTGAAATATTATTATTTCCCTTTTGCTGCCAAGCTATAACTGTAGAGGCTAATATATGTAGTATTCCTTAGGACTACTCACCCACTGACCAAATGAGATAACAAAAATATAGGGGGAAAACCATTTGATTTTCTGGGGGAGGGGAAAGAGGATTTTAGAAATGAATATTTTGGCCAGTAAGAACTGAAAAGTTACTTGTGTACAAAAGAACATTTTAAAGTCCTGCAAAAAAAAGAAGTATGACAATAGCAAAAGGTGAAAATGGATATATGCAGGCGTATATAATTATCTTGTGGCCATGCCTCCAACGAAAATCAAATGGTACTCCCCTAATATCCAATGGGATATTCGTTTACAACTTCCTGAAATTTTTAACAAAATAGCCACTGCAGGCAGTATGTTTTGAAGGAAACATTTTTTCTCATTTTTTTTTTGGTTGAATATTCTGTAGGTGTTGCTGTTGACACTAGATAGTCTCGCTTGCATGAATACAAGGATAATTTATAATGGCCTGAGTTTATATTGATTTACTACATGTTGGTCCTTTATTTCAAATATTTTACCAAAGAGATAGCACTTGACTATATGTTGTAGATACATGTATACAATAACAAATGAACATATTGAAATTAATTCTATTTTATTTATCTTTACAGTACATTTTTAACTGCAGAAGATATTAAAATGAGTGGTAGACAGTTTGTAGAAACTCTGAAACAGTTAGGATACCCTAAAGCTCATTCTCTAGATCCAAGTGGATTAGAATGGATGTTTGAATGTGAAGAACTGGTTCCTTTCCTTGACTGGTTCTGTACTAATGTCAATTCTGCTAATGTATTAGATGCTAAGGAACTTGAAGAGTAAGTATTGACCAGTGGAAAGAATTAAAAATTATGGTACTCTGGTATGATGTTATGACAAAAATGTGATATCAGATGAAACTGATTTTGTTTTGTGGAATCTTCCAAGCTTCAACTTAGGAATCAAAACTACTGTATGCAGGGGCAGATCCAGGATTTTTGAGGTAAAATTATCGAAAATATTCTTTATTAAGCTGAGGACAACCCATGATTTGCAAATTTTAGGGGAGGGGGCGCATGCCCGCCACGCCCCTGCCTGAATACGCCCCTGGTATGTATTGTTGATGCCACCAGCATTATATGTAACATGTATGGCAAATCAGGCTATGAACATATTTTATTTCCTTTTTCCATACTTATCTTCTGAATAGATTCCAGAATTGATAGTTTCTGAAAATGTTCAATCTGTTTAGCATACAGTTGTATAAGCATCTTTACATCTCCAATGTGTTCAGTACACAAAGATTCATTTCAGTTATGTAGCAGTAACTTTCAGAATCGTACAGCTCTGCCTTCAGTCATGCATCATTGACCTTTTAAACCATTTGCATCCATACATTTCTTTTTTTAATTTTTAATCTCCACCCCTTATTCATGCTTCAGCAGAGCAGATGAGCCAATTGTTGATGCTATCACAGTTATTTGTTTTAATTTTAGATATGAAGCTTTGATAAAAAGTGGAGAGGCAGTGTTAGATGGTACACAACTTGATGAAGCTGTGAAGAATTTGATTTCAGCAGAAGAAGAAACTCTCTCTGTTGATGACCTGAAGTGAGATACATTTTTAGTTAAAATGACATAAGGCATGCCTTAGAATTATAGTCTGAAGCTTATTGTTTGTGTTAATACCTCTCAACTGCCACAAAAAAGACATATTAACCATATATTACGGTTTAGTGGTGTCAAGTTTTCTTAATGTCTTAAAAGTTATCTTTACATAGTTCAGTTCATGGAATGTTTGTATTTGTAGTTATTTGTGAGGCTATATATTTTCACACAAAAGAATATAACTCTTACCTATACATATACATGTTAAGATTTACTTATTTGAGAAGATTTAACTATTTGAAGTGACTGCCATTCATGTATCTTGGTCATGAGATACTGAGTCTGGCAGTGTTTTACCAAGCTAAGATCATCTAGACATTTATCCCTCTATTCAGTGTGAAACCTTTCATTCATGGATTACCATTCTTTTACCCAAAGTCTTAAATACAGTTAACAAGCATTAAAACATAGTTTTCACATACAACTGAAAATGTAGACAATTTGAAAACCACTCAAGAATAAGATTATGCAGTTATGTTGCATCTTGGTCACCTAAAAATAAATTGACATATAATAGTAGTTGTTTATTCAGACGCCAATATTAAAACTGAAACAGAACAATAATTTTATTATTTTAATTGCAGGAAACAAAATGATCAGTTAAAGATGGATATAGAATGCTGTCGCAAGAGGAAACAGTCACTTATACAGAAAAGAAACAGACTGAGGTTAAATAATGGTTATCATATTTAATATGGGATAGATATAATTATTATTATATTTTAACAAGATTTTTTTTTTTTAAAACAGAAATAAATAACCAATACTTCTATTGTCTGGTCATAAGGTAACTAGTTTATTCACAATTACTCTAACTACAGTTCAACACAGTTATTGAGTCATCACAGAAAAAATAGGAGAAACATTTTGATAACAACAATGAATTCATTGAAATAGAACATTATTTAACACATGTATTTAGATATAGATCTTTGGATAGAGTATAACAACATACAAAAAAAAAGTAAAAAAATAAAAGTTGTATGTAACTTTTCCAGGTATTTTAGTCATTGTGCTGCTGAAAGTCATAACTAAATCTTACATGTTGGATATCAACACAATATATAAAATTCTGTTCATATGTCAACATTGCACTAGTTCTAATACATTATGATTGATGTTGAAGAAGGTGACAACAGGAGTTTTGTATTTGCAATCTATTCTTTTTCACATATCACATATCACATAATCTATTGCTAAACATTTAACAAATATGTATATATATATATGTAAACCTCAGATCTGTGTACGGCATCAAATCTGTGTCCGTTTCTCAAATCTGTGCCCCATCGTGACGTCAATCGCTAATCTATGTCCGTTAAAAAAGATACGGCCTCAAATCTGTGTCCTATTTTCAAATTTGTTTTCAATCGTGACGTGATTCGCAAATCTATGTCCGTTAACAAAGATACGGCATCAAATCTGTGTCCTTTTCTAAAATCTTTTTCCAGTTTTTTCGCAATGCGCAAATTTATGCCCGTCTAATAAGTATGGCCTTACAGGATTTTTGTTTTATTAAGTCATTTCCTATAATTCAATGTTAAGTTGGGATGTGTTCTCCATGTGTGTGCTTAAAAATTTAATTATTATATGATTTACATTTTATTGTAAAACTACAACATTTTCAAATTGTTTGCTTTTCTTGATCCCTTGTTTAATTGTTCTGTAGTAATTATCGTTACTTCCCTTTACTCATTACGTTTTGATAACAAATACGAAACATAAGTTAATAAAAAAAACCTGAGACAAAATAACATCTATATACAAGCAACTAAAGATACATGTATGGCCTTCAACAATGAATTGAACCTATTCTGTATCGTAATCTGTAAACACATACACCTATTTGTTCAATGTATCGGTACCACATAAAAATGTTTAGGGTATAATTTATTGCCGGTTTAACAACGACATTTTGTGCCACTATCTTATTAAAAAAGGTTTTTTTTTGGTGAAACTATTCCGGTTTCAAATCTATGTATTTTTTAAAATCCATTGTGTACCATGACATCAACATTCAACAACCACAACATAATTCTGTGTACAAATTATTGACATAACGAGCATACATGTTACTTTATTAATGTGCCTTCAAGAATGAAACTACACATATTTTTTTACTTGATTACGTCTTGCTATGTCTTACGTCACCACATTTCGATAAAGGACATAGATTTGTGACAAAAATGGCCATAGATTTGAGTTAATAAAGGACATAGATTTGAGACAATAAAGGACATAGATTTGAGACAATAAAAGACATAGATTTGAGCCAATAAAGGACATAAATTTGGAACGTCTATGAGGCAATATTAAAAAGGACATAGATTTGCGGAAAAGACATAGATTTGAGGCTTACATATACTTATACACTTTTGAGTCTTATGATTGCTACAAGAAGACAAGAAGCTGTTTCATATCTAGGATTAGAAATACATAATAGCATTTTATAATTGATTTCATTTTGTATTGGTTTATCTAAATTTCATCTAATCATTGATTTATTTTGTAGCTTACATCAAACAGGGTTAACACACCGTTTGTCCAAGTTAAAGACTGTAGAATCAAAGGCAAAGTCACAGTACAAGAAATGTCTAGAACAGACTCAAGCTGATAACACACAAGTAATCCTATAATGTAAAATCAATCTGATTGAACAGACTCAGGCTGATAACACTCAAGTAATCATATAATGTAAAATCAATCTGATTGAACAGACTCAGGCTGATAACACACAAGTAATCCTATAATGTAAAATCAATCTGATTGAACAGACTCAAGCTGATAACACACAAGTAATCATATAATGTAAAATCAAGCTGATAACACACAAGTAATCCTATCATGTAAAATCAATCTGATTAAACAGACTCAGGCTGATAACACTAAAGTTATCATATAATGTAAAATCAATCTGATTGAACAGACTCAGGCTGATAACACTAAAGTAATCCTATAATGTAAAATCAATCTGCTAACACACAAGTAATCCTATAATGTAAAATCAAGCTGATAACACACAAGTAATCCTATAATGTAAAATCAAGCTGATAACACACAAGTAATCCTATAATGTAAAATCAATCTGATTGAACAGACCCAAGCTGATAACACACAAGTAATCCTATAATGTAAAATCAAGCTGATAACACACAAGTAATCCTATAATGTAAAATCAATCTGATTAAACAGACTCAGGCTGATAACACACAAGTAATCCTATAATGTAAAATCAATCTGATTGAACAGACTCAAGCTGATAACACACAAGTAATCATATAATGTAAAATCAATCTGATTGAACAGACTCAGGCTGATAACACACAAGTAATCCTATAATGTAAAATCAATCTGATTGAACAGACTCAGGCTGATAACACTCAAGTAATCCTATAATATAAAATCAATCTGATTAAACAGACTCAGGCTGATAACACTCAAGTAATCCTATAATGTAAAATCAATCTGATTAAACAGACTCAGGCTGATAACACACAAGTAATCCTATAATGTAAAATCAATCTGATTGAACATACTCAAGCTGATAACACACAAGTAATCATATAATGTAAAATCAATCTGATTGAACAGACTCAGGCTGATAACACACAAGTAATCATATAATGTAAAATCAATCTGATTGAACAGACTCAGGCTGATAACACTCAAGTAATCATATAATGTAAAATCAATCTGATTAAACAGACTCAGGCTGATAACACACAAGTAATCCTATAATGTAAAATCAATCTGATTGAACAGACTCAAGCTGATAACACACAAGTAATCATATAATGTAAAATCAATCTGATTGAACAGACTCAGGCTGATAACACACAAGTAATCCTATAATGTAAAATCAATCTGATTGAACAGACTCAGGCTGATAACACTCAAGTAATCCTATAATATAAAATCAATCTGATTAAACAGACTCAGGCTGATAACACTCAAGTAATCCTATAATGTAAAATCAATCTGATTAAACAGACTCAGGCTGATAACACACAAGTAATCCTATAATGTAAAATCAATCTGATTGAACATACTCAAGCTGATAACACACAAGTAATCATATAATGTAAAATCAATCTGATTGAACAGACTCAGGCTGATAACACACAAGTAATCATATAATGTAAAATCAATCTGATTGAACAGACTCAGGCTGATAACACTCAAGTAATACTATAATGTAAAATCAATCTGATTAAACAGACTCAGGCTGATAACACTCAAGTAATCCTATAATGTAAAATCAATCTGATTAAACAGACTCAAGCTGATAACACACAAGTAATCATATAATGTAAAATCAAGCTGATAACACACAAGTAATCCTATAATGTAAAATCAATCTGATTAAACAGACTCAGGCTGATAACACTCAAGTAATCCTATAATGTAAAATCAATCTGATTGAACAGACTCAGGCTGATAACACTCAAGTAATCCTATAATGTAAAATCAATCTGATTAAACAGACTCAGGCTGATAACACACAAGTAATCCTATAATGTAAAATCAATCTGATTGAACAAACTCAGGCTGATAACACTCAAGTAATCCTATAATGTAAAATCAATCTGATTAAACAGACTCAAGCTGATAACACACAAGTAATCATATAATGTAAAATCAAGCTGATAACACACAAGTAATCCTATAATGTAAAATCAATCTGATTAAACAGACTCAAGCTGATAACACACAAGTAATCCTATAATGTAAAATCAATCTGATTAAACAGACTCAAGCTGATAACACACAAGTAATCATATAATGTAAAATCAAGCTGATAACACACAAGTAATCCTATAATGTAAAATCAATCTGATTGAACAGACTCCAGCTGATAACACACAAGTAATCCTATAATGTAAAATCAAGCTGATAACACACAAGTAATCCTAAAATGTAAAATCAATCTGATTAAACAGACTCAGGCTGATAACACACAAGTAATCATATAATGTAAAATCAATCTGATTAAACAGACTCAAGCTGATAACACTCAAGTAATCATATAATGTAAAATCAATCTGATTAAACAGACTCAAGCTGATAACACTCAAGTAATCATATAATGTAAAATCAATCTGATTAAACAGACTCAAGCTGATAACACACAAGTAATCACATAATGTAAAATCAATCTGATTGAACAGACTCAGGCTGATAACACATAAGTAATCCTATAATGTAAAATCAAGCTGATAACACACAAGTAATCCTATAATGTAAAATCAATCTGATTGAACAGACTCAGTCTGATAACACACAAGTAATCATATAATGTAAAATCAATTTGATTAAAATACAGACCCTGTGTCCATGTTTTGCCTACTAGACAATGCTAGATCTGACAATGCTTTCTTTCTGTCTTGAAGACCTATTACTGATATCGGGTTTGTCGGAATAGTTTTATTGTCTGAGCTTCAAGTTTTTGTTTTATTCACACTTTAAACTACAGTTTAACACACATAGCTCATTAACTGTAAGAACTTGAATGTGATTAGACATGAATTAAAATATGATAGCATCAGAGCTCAAATATAATATTCAAAACTGAATTGAGAAAAAAAAATAATGGATATGTAAAAACATAATTTAAAGTTAATGACACCAGAAGTGAAATACTAAAAATAATGTCATCAGAATTTAAATTATTATCATAAAAGCTGAAATGTTATAACACAAGGGCTACAGAGTAAATATCTAACTGATTTTTACAGATGAATAATAGTCTTGATGAATTGGTGAAATCTGTTTCACGCACCACTGATTTGTATGACAGGAAAGAAGAAGTATCAGATCAAAACAGTCATGTGACATTAGACAGACCAACATCTCCCGTATTTCTCTCTCAGCTATCCCAGGAGGAATACAATAAAACTGAAGATAAGTTTACACAAGAACTTACATCGTATACTAAAAGATTATTCTTTGAGGTAAATGGATTTTTGGAGATGTCATTGTAATCAGTGATTTGAAAACTATGTAAAATGGAATTACTATTTCTGTTGGAGTTTGTATTGGCCAGCTGATGTGTATTTGTGATATTTGAGCATGCCTTCCTGTTTTGTATGGAAAGTTTTCTTTATTTGAGGGATGTCAGTCTTGTAATTTCTTATAGATTTTAGATATTCTAGTATTTTGCATGTTATGGTCAATTTGATTATCTCCCAGATGTTACATTATTATATGACTTAAGATACTAAAAAAAAATAAAAATAAGCAGGGTTATTTAGTTGTGCATATGCATAAAAGATATATCTTTTGAAAAAGTAAACAAGAAAATGTATTTTACTCATTTAATGTAATGGTCATATGACATTTTTATAATGCCAATATGATTTCATCTCTTTCCTACATTTCTTTTATCAGTGTCGTTGCACAAATCTTCACACTTATATTGTATTTTTTATTATTTGTGTAGCATATATCTAAAAAGTTTTGGTCGTTTTCTTAAGACTCTAATTTGCAGAAATTGTGGTCAAAATTGGTGTTTTATTTATTAAACAGAAATCATCTTCTTAATGAAAAGTATTTTGGGTATCTAAAATAGAAAGAAATAAAAAAGACCAAATTTATGCAGTATTCATTTTGAGATAACTGTAAATTATATTTATAGGGAATAGCAGAAATGACTGGTCAAGATGAAGGTTCTAGATATGAAATATTGGAGGTCAGTGATCCTGAAAATTTACTGGTGCGTGGAGAAGCTGAGGAAATCAACATTAGTGAATGTAAAGAGTTAGCCAGAATACAGGCATTGTTAGTATTTAGATATTTTAGATATTTGTCTCCCTTTGTTAATATCATAAGTTTCTTTTTATTGCATGTATAATATAAATTGTAAGCATAGAAAATATGCCCCCTCATCTTTGCTAAAAAATAAGAAGACCTTTGTAGACGGTTGTGACCAAATCAATATTTTGATGATGGCTTTAAAAAAAAATGTTTTTTTGTTTTTTTTCTGGAAAAGTACATGTATGTACCAGGGCTTCCAAAATTTCCTGACGACAGCCAGACATTTTTCAAAGAAATATTTTGACGGTCAATGATCAGCTGGATACTTAAATGTAACTGAGAGGATGCATAAATTGATATATGTGTCTAAATAATTAGTAGTGTTATATGCAATAAAATTATTTATAACTGTTTTGTTTTCTTCATTCTAAAAATAAATAAAATATTATCCTCGGTATTGTGTCATTTTTCTGTGTATCGTAATACAGTAACCATCATTGCATCAATCAGCTTCAGTACCTGACTGTTCTCATGTTTTTGTTTCTGTTTATATAATCTATCTTCTCTCTGTGAGTACTTAACACTTTGTAAATTAAGGGTATCTTATTTGAAACTGTTGATGTTGGCTTTAATTGCAGTACAACTTGATCATCAATACACGTGATACTTTTCTTTTTGTGTATTGATTACCTGACCACGTGACTTTTACAACTGATGCGGTATTTATAGATAACATTGAGTAGGCCCAATGAAGGATATTGTTTTAAACCGTGTAAAATCTACTGAACAGTAATAACATTTTTCTTTGTACAATTTCCCAACCTGATTTAGATAATAAGAAGAATAAATAAAAACATACTCAGTTGATAAATAATTTAAACTAATTTTCAGTTCACCAGCTTTGAGGTTTGATAAGTACAAAATTAAATGTTTTTGCGTAGCCAGATCAGTTGACTTGTCGATCATAATTCCCACGGCAGGACTTAACTTTACGTCGGACATCACCTCTTTCTCTATAATATCGGAAATTGTCTGAATAAATTCGGAGCAGGCATTGTTCTCTTGATGTAATTTAGAAGTGATCACGGCACCATTTAACTTAGTTAAATCATTTATTGACTGAAATTTGTCCATTGGTAAGTTTTCTTTAGCAATAAAGATAGCATTACGGAACAAGGTGCACATTGCGTTGTCAGTCTTTTCATGAACTTTCTCAAATACTGATACAATTGGATTACTTTTGGAAGCTGTCTCTAATTTAAGAGCTTGAACGTGGTCATTGCTATTAGCATGCTCTACAACGGCTGACTTTCGAAAAGTTATTTTTAAGTTTATGTTTTTGACAAATGTCACAAAACATGGCATTTAGCATACTGTCAAATCTTAACCATAAAAACAGTTGTAACCATTTATGAATAAAGATTCTAGCATTTTTAGCAGATTTCGAATATTGATCGGAATCGTCACGTTTACGTTTGCCCATGATGGCAGATTTGTAAAGTTCAATTTGAGACAAAGTCTTTATAACAGTTGGAGATTGTCATGATTGGATATTCTTCTTTATGATTTCAATTATAAAAACAGTTTTTAATATGAAAACAAGAATAGAGAACGCCCCCCCTTATTTATTGGACAACTCAGCTGTTCTCGGTGTTTTTTCTATATATTTCAATAAATTTTCCCCTTTAGAGTACCCCAGTATTTAACACGATGTACAGTGTTAAATAAAATAATATATCATACTTATTCATTTATAAATATCCTTATTTGAAGAATAACTTTTAAATATCAGGATACTTTTTTAAACTGAATGCTCATTTAAAATAATATCTATAAAGCGTAATTAAATAGGATGTTGTTCCATACACGCTTACATGTTTGACCTCGTTTACCTGATCACCTTTATGTACAGTGTTACGCATCATTAATTCTATTGATAAAGACAAGCTAAGGACACCTCATCAAAGGTTACAAACCTGTAATCAGTGAATGATTTATGGCTTCAATATAACTTATTGAAGGGATAATTGTTTGACAGCTTGTTGTTATTTAAATAAAAGAAAACGTGTTTTTTCTACTTTTTATTGATGTACACAAGCTAAAGACCAAGCGGTACATTTATGTACCCAGAGGATTAGACTAACTGAGACACTTCAAAGTATCTGAAATATGCTGCATCTGTTTTATTAAACCCAATTATGACCGAAATATCTTTGTGAAATAGATTGCCACAATTATAAACTAAAATGCTCAAACGGACATGCCCAAAGCCCCGAACGGACATTTTTATCGATCGATAGTTGGTAAAAATTGAAATGACCGTTTTATGAAAATGCCTTGAATAACAAAAAGTGGCAAACCAATTCTATTTGACCGTTTGAGGCTGAGAGCAGCCGGACTTTTTATGAAAGTTTTGGTCAATTCCGGAATATATGACCGTTTTGGAAGCCCTGGTATGTACCTTTGATTTTATCTGATACCTTGTGGTTTTGGAGAAAAAGCTGTCCCAACTTTTGGCTCTTTGTCTCCTGGACAACAAGTGTGAATGAAAATTGTTTGAAAGCAGCAAATTTAGTATACCCCAATACCATGAAAGTCATATATAGAATATAATGGAAAGTTTAAAAATATTGGTACTTTATATTTTATGTAAAATTTGAATGTTTCCAATATTTTCATTCTTAAAAAATTAATGCATGTATTGTCATGTGATAAAATTATATACTTTTAGTTACCCAAAGAGTGAGGCTAAGCGTATCAATGCTTTAATGAATAGCAAACAGGCAAATGCTTGTGTACAGTCAGCTCAAGATATCATACAGTCATTGAAACATGGTGATTTTGGAAGAGATAGCAGCAAGTTAAGGTAAATATAAAAATAAGATGTGGTATGATTGTGAATGAGACAAAGCTCCACAAGACACCAAATAACATAGAAATTAACAACTATAGGTCACTGTATGGCCTTCAACAATGAGTAAAGTTGGTATTTCCATCACCCTAAGATTACTTATAGTCATAGGAAAATCATAATTTTAGATTGTTGGTTGCTTATTTAATGTGCAGAGGCAAACATCCCTCACATGTTAACAATGTATATAAATTTTGAAATATTGTTGAGAAATGAGTGGTGAAAGGGTACAGAAAGGCAATTTACTACCACTGGATAAGTACAATGTATAGAGACGAAACAAAGGGGTGAATTTAGTCTTTAGTAGTGGCCACAATCTGGTCACCCTTTTGAACTATGAATAATTTTCTATATAAAAATTCTATTTTTGTAGCAAACAAGATTACTCTCAAACACGACATACTTTGGTCTGCTGTCAATTTTTTTAACTATCATGTCCACACACGCTTTCCAGGAATAGGTTACCTCTGTTCTATGGCTTGGGGTATCTTGGTCAAATTTTTTGCTTCTTTGAAGGATTTTTTTAAAAAAAGCAGAAAGATAAACGTATTAGTTACTTAGAGTAAATGTTTGATGTTAGTTAAATGAAGTTATATGTTTTCAGCCAAAGAATCAATGAGAAAAGAAACGCCGTAAGTTTAGTTAAGAGGGAGATTGCTGGAATGGCAGAGAGAGATATTCCTGCCTTAATACAGGAGAGTACAGCTTCTCAAGTATCCAAGATACTGACGGGGGATTATAATCTCAAACTAGCCAGGCAGGATTATTTCATATCAAACCAAGATAAGGTAATTAATATGGTTATTTTTTTTTATGATTTAATCAAAACTATCACTTTTATAGAATATTTTCATGAGACATTGAAACTTTTAACAATGTAAGACAACACATTCATGGAATGAAATGAAAGACACAGGTGGTCCTTACAACTTATGACAGGACCAACAGACTTGCTAGCCAAAAATAGATGTCCCCTTCATGCTGCAGCCTTGTGCCCTATCACATAAAAATGTTTGCCATTGTTCCCCTTTGCATTACCCCATTTATAAAAAGGAGATGTGGGGAATAGGTCAGTGAGACAGCAACAAGTAGATTTTTCAGAAGAATCTATTTTATTCTATTTTATACTGTTAATTTGTTGGTGAAGAAACCTGTCTATTAAGACCATATATGTTGACTTCTAGATGTCTTTTGGGTTTTTATAATGTCTCTTGACATATGGTCCACTAATTTCTTTATTCATATTTATATTTTGTAGGTTTTGAATGAATTGATTTTACAAAGATCAAGGAATGAGTTCCTTACCATGGCATATGAAGTTGAGGCAAGAAACCACAGAGATATACATAGATTACTGACAGCAGTTAAACAGTTACTTTACACACAACTTAAATCATATGAAGACAGAATGGTAATCTTCAAATTCTTGTAGCCATGATTAATCTTTGATAGGTGATGCATTTATTCATCTGAAAATATAACCATTTGATGACTTTTTCTATTTGAAAGGATCAATTTACCATTTGGTCTCCTGGATTGCTCCTGTCCATATGAGATAGCCATACTGCAGGTGTCTGTTTAGCTATGCAGGATGTATAAATATGCAGCCATGTATGATCAGAATAGGGACATGAGACCATTTCGAATAAACAAAATTTGATTATAAACAGCTAATGCTTCTTGTGGTGAAAAGACTATAAAAAATTCATTTGAAAATTGACAAAAAATGTTAGTGTGCAGACATTTTCTCAGATTAACAAAACAAGAATGTTTTTATTGCACATAATTTGAATGATTGATGGATGGAGGTAAGAACATACTATATCCACCAAATTGGTATAGAAACAAAGCTGAATAAAGAATGAAAATTCTGAATATGCAAACTAAACAAAATATTATGTTAGATTAAAGCATTTGTTAATCATATATCTTTGTAATAATCAGATAATAAGATGACCTTAACTAAAAAGTTATACAAGTACCTCCTGCACCCAGTTTTACATCTCTTGGTTGAATATAACCCTTTGTTAAATCTTATTACAGAGGGTTATGTAACCAAGGGTTAAAATTCTGTTGTTCAACTTATTTTAACCCTTGGTTGCTTAACCCTTGGTTTAATTTTCACTAAATGTTAAGACAGATGTGACAGAGAGCACCTGTGGTTTGAAAAGAAGCATTGATCTATCTTAGAAATGTCCTTGATTATAGATAAATAGAGTCTACATTATCTTACTAAAATGTGTTTAATTTTTCTGCATGATTTTTTTTACATTAAATATAACAAGGTAAAATTATGTTGATATGATTATTTCTATTAGGTTAAAATATGAGCGTTAAACTCCATCCAAAAAGGGGGAAGGACTGTAAAACTTAATAATCAGTTTTTCATTACTAATTATAATGATAATGGAATACAAAGAATATCAAACTATAAGTGGTCTTTCCAATCGAGTAGTAAATTCCTTGGTTAAAATTATAACCGAGGTCCGAAGTAAGGTTAAATCTGAATCTTTTAACCAAGGATTTAACAAAGGTTAAATTTAACCACAGGATGAACAACAGAAATTATCCAATAGTTAAGTTTTAACCAAGGGTATTGATATATAACCCTTGGTTAAAATCTAACCAAGAGATGAACAACAGGTCCTGAGATGTTTTGGTTTAACTGCTTGACCTTTTTATACGACCGCAAAGTCGTATATTGGTATGACGTTGGCGTCGTCGTCCAAGGACACATTGATTTTTGCACAATAACTTTAGTTTAAGTGAATGGATCTCTATGAAATTTAAACATAAGGTTTATAACCACAAAAGGAAGGTTGGGATTGATTTTGGGGGTTATGGTCCCAACAGTTTAGGAATTAGGGGCCAAAAAGGGGCCCAAATAAGCATTTTTCTAGTTTCATGACAATAACTTGTGGAACAGTGTATGGATCTCTCTGAAATTATACCACAAGTTTCCATACCACAAAGGGATGGTTAGGATTGGCTTTGGGGGGTTATGGCTCAAACCATTTAGGAATTAGGGGCAAAAAAGTGAGAAAAAACAAGGGTGTCCTGGTTAATGGACATTACTTAAGTACAAATTACAGTGTAAGGGAGGTAATTCAAAAACTACTTTGAATTACCTCCCTTACACTGCTTTTAAATTATGTATATAGAATTTTTGTATTGTCTTGAGGTGATTAGCTGTATATTCATTTTTAGAAGATACTATTTTAATAATTTTAAAAATGCTGATTAAGGTAAATTAATTTTAGCTATGATTATGTATGTTATTTTCTATTTTAAGACTTTAATGATGTATTTAAATGGGTTATTATGGTTGCAATCTCCATGGAAATTTGAATTGAAATTATGACCATGACAGAGGGAAAATTTGTTTTTAAAGGCAGTGCTTTAATGCCTTTCTAGTTGCCGTGTTAATATTTCTTTCCGCGATATCCAATTTATCTACGTGGGGGGTCATTAAGCTCCAAGTAGATCCGGAAAATGTTGATTCTCTCCTCTTCTTATTGTGGTATAAAATGTTTTTTGTCTCATTTCATTTACATTGGGAAATAGAGAAACGATCATTGTGTTTTGTTAGTTTTAAAAACTTTTGATATATTTGTATTTTACATTATAAGCAGTCAACCGATTGACAAACTAGAATTATTTGAATTCCGTGTGGAAAGAGGTCGGGTTAATTTCGAGTGTTATCTGCAATCTAGATGTTTATAAATCATTTCAGTCGTTGATATAATAATTAAAGGTCAACTGAACATGAATTATATTATACAATTTAAAGCGCATTTCTGTTTATGCACGCGAACCCGTCTAACGTTATTGTTATTTCGCAGTTATATAAAGTAGCAAATTATCGTTCCTGAATAGGTGGCGCCGTGGTAGCCGATCCTGCACTTCAACTTCCGGTTTCTGCACTGTGCAACTATTACAGTTGCATTTTTAATTAACGATGCCAAGTACTTGTTGTTGTGTACCTGGATGTCATTTAAGAGGAGGACATGCATTTCCAAATGACTTAAAAAGAAGGAAAAGTTGGATCAACGCCATGGCCCATACGCAGATTGGACGAGAACACAATGAAATCGTGGAGTCCATCTCAATCAGCTGTTGTTTGCAAGGCACATTTTACTGAAAAAGACTACGTGCAGGAAACTATTCATGGTAAGACTCTATTTTCTTTTTAAAATATATAGTTATATATGTAATCGCCATGCGAATAAACCAAAGTCAGTTTACAACCGCAATTATTGTTTTAGAATAAAAGGGGGTGGTTAATTCAAGACGTCATAATTTTTTGGATTACGATTCAATGTGATCTGTTTGAGATTTTTTGGTGCTTGCTACAATTATAATGATTTCTTACAAGAGGTATATCATACTGAGAATTATTTTAGCAGTAATTATGCTTATGTAGTAATGACAGGAATGCATAAGCTATGCCTCATAGACTTTCTTGAAAAATATCAATGACAATGTTAACAGGAACAAAACAATGACATGCTCTCATCTATATTATAGTTATTTAGGTACAAACAATGTATGTTTGTTGCATACGTCTCTCATTGTTTGTCCTTTGGATTTACATAACATACATTTTGATGTACATTGAATCAGGCTAACATAGTTTTATCCAGATTGTAATGAATAAATCTAGTTAATATTTTGCCAGGTTACGAGTACAAAGGAATTATAGTTATCTCGTACCATTGTAATTCGTACCAATGTCAACTCGTACCACTAAACAAAAACTCGTTCCAATGCAAACTCGTACCACTGCTAACTCGTACCATGGTAAATTCATACCATTTTAAACTCGTACCAACTTATTTAAATGCATTCAAATGGTGTTTAATGATGAATATATACTTTAATTTCACTCAATACCTCTTAAGTCTGTAAAATGTATATAATTTGAAATTACAATAACCAATTTGTAGCTAATTTTCCTTGTCGAATTGGATAGAGAAAACCGTGGCAGATTGGCTTTGTTGTCTCCCTTGAATATACTCTTTTTTAAACTTTTACTGACAACTATTTGATTTAATTTTTAATCATTCCAAATCAGTAACATTGAATAGATTTGGGTATTTTTCTATTGTTTCTAAAAGGAATTTTATTTAATGAAAGAATTTATTGATTGTGTTTTAAAGGTTTAAAATTGTTTATGACCAACAGTTAGAAAGTATGAAATTTATTTTTATACAATATTCAGCACATTTCAGCAGAATATGACCATGCTTATATGATTATACAAGTTGATTAGTTAAAGATAAAAAAAAAACAAGTTGATTAGTTAATAATCAACCAATAATCACACAATCAAAGGAATTTAATATATTTATTAGCATGGTAATTAAGAAATTACATTTGTATTTTTGTCTTAGTTTTCATTAAAATCTGGTATAAATTTCAAAGATATTTTAATTTTTTGTATAAAGCTTTAAAAAAAAATAATCATAAAACATTCGTATTTTTGTCTAAGTTTTCATTAAAATCTAGTATAAAATTCAAGTAATTCAACTTTTTTTATTTAGTTTACCAAAAAAAAAATCATAAAACTTTCGTATTTTTGAATATATTTTTAATGGTACGAGTTTGCAGTGGTACGAGTTCTGATTGGTACGACTTCCCAGTGGTACGAGTTTACGTTGGTACGAGTTTACGTGGTACGAGTTTACAATGGTACGAGTTAACTTGCTTCTGTACAAAGTATGCATTGCTAATGGAAGTTCATTTAATTATCAAAAAACTAATGTTTTATAACCTTTTTCAGGGCACAAACCCACCATACAGAGACTTAAGTCTACTGCCAATCCCAGCCTATTTTCCTGGACCAAGCAAGAGACTGAATCGTCCGCAAAAAGAAAAATCAGGGCAGTTTCCTGTGAAAACAAAAAAACTAAACTTGATGAATATTGTAGTAGAAATCTAGAGGAAAGTTTTGATTGTAAAGTTGGTTTTCCTGAAGAAGTAATTCATACTGCAGACAGGACTTATGACTGTCCACCACCAACTGCTGTGCTAATGTTGAGCTTCACAGATGGAATTACGCAAACACCATCAATGCCTATATTTTCAGCAGAGAATTTTGAAATGAAGACACGTGACACAGCCATGCATTTTTATACCGGTTTAGAGTTGTATACTAAATTTTTATTTGTTTTGACCACACTTGGTCCAACAGCACATTGTTTGAGATACATATATTTTCAAATTGATAGGGTGTCATTTGAAAATCAGTTTTTATATGACTTTGATGAAATTGATGCATTATACAACCAACTTTGAACTGTCTAGATTCTAGATTGAAACTAGTGTTAAGAATATTGTGTAAACATGGATTTTTTTTATGTCTAAACAGTGGCTTGAGGCTAACACTTGGCCATTTAGTGGTTTAGTCAGGTATTTTTCGCCATCCAACTTAGAATTAAAGTTTCCTACAACTTGGATTATTATTGACAGCACAGAATATCCCGTGATAAAACCTAAAGCTCCTAGAGCTCAGGCAACCTTTTCATCATATAAAAACAGAAACACTGAAAATACTTGTATGTTCGACACCTGGTGGTTTAGTCAACTATGTCTCTAATGCATATGTTGGTTGTACCAGTGACTGTGAAATAGTTGAAAGATGTAGAATAGTTCAATTATGTGATCCAGGTGACAGTGTGATGGCAGACAAAGGTTTAAATGTGCAAGATTTGTTTGCTCACTTTTTTCAAAAAAAGAAACAGAAATTAGTTCCAAAACTCTTATACGGGATAGAAAAGTCTCCAATTAACACGTGCACATAGAGCTAATTATTGAATTGGCAAAACATACTAATTTCTAATAAATCCTATGAATGGAACTGAAACAAAACTTTCATCTGAAATAACATTTAGTTGTTTTATGTTGTGTAATTTTAGAACTTGTATTGTGCCAAAGGATGCATAAATAAAAGTGACGCAATGAAGTTTGTTCTGATATATATATATAAATATTATTTACAATTACATGCACATGTAAATTGTAATGCATATAAAAATAAGGAGATGTGGTATGATATTCAGTGAGTTTATCGAACTAAAGTGCATAAGAAATGGGTTAAGCAGTTACAGGTGTTACTGTCACCATACAATCTCCAACAATTAGAAAAACTTGTACCATGTAAAAAATTTCAGAGATCTTACAACTAAGTTTTGTTGTCTCACCTTGACTTTGGTGAATTGTTTATATCTGTTGATGTAAATATAAAAAAGAAGATGTGGTATGATTGCCAATGAGACAACTCTCCACAAGAGACCAAATGACACAGAAATTAACAGCTATAGGTCACAGTACGGCCTTCAACAATGAGCAAAGCACATACCGCACAGTGAGCTATAAAAGGCCCCGAAATGACAATGTAAAACAATTCAAACAAGAAAACTAACGGCCTAATTTATGTTCAAAAAATGAACGAATAACAAATATGCAACACATAAACAAACGACAACCACTGAATTACAGGCTCCTGACTTGGGACAGGCACATACATGTACATACAGAATGTGGCGGGTAAAACATGTTCCCGGGATCCCAACCCACCCCCTAACCTGGGACAGTGGTGTAACAGTACAATATAAGAGCGAACTATAAAAATCAGTTGAAAGAGGCTTAACTCATCAGATGGATAAATACAAATACAAGTGGACGTGGCCGGGTAGTTGTACATCCAAACAACAAAAAGACACTAAGTACAGATCTGAGAGTACTCGCATTTACTGACAGCTAGTTCAAAGCCACAAACAACTGATAAAAAAATCTTGCATCTAAGACTAAATTATCAATCCGTAAGCTCCCTTTAGAATTTTATAAATTTTAGATTTTACATTTCTGAGTTATGGGGTTTTATTCACTAAAAAGGGGGGGATTTTCCAGTTTTTGGACAACAACTCAAAAATGCTTTAAGCAGTTCGCATGAAACTTTGGTGAATTATTTATAGCTATTGATGTAATCTCCCTATTGATTTTCATAAATTTCAAATATGACATTGAGAAGAAATTGAACTTTATTTGTTTATAGTCTGGCAACAGATTTATTAAGTATTGCGCAACAGCACAGTGTATTGCACAACAGCAAGAAATCTTTAATTGAATATAAATTCAATTCATATAACCGATTTCAAGTTCTTTGACTACATTTATTCAGAAACTATAATATGTCAAATATTCAATTACAATCCAAATTCAGACCTGTATCAAGCTTGAATATTGTGTCCATTTTTGCCCCAACTGTTCAGGGTTGGACCTCTGTGGGTGTATCCAGCTTCGCTCAGCGAATCAGTTTATTACTTAATAAAGAACTCCTTTTTGTCGAGCCTGCAACTTTTGTCGCAGAAAGCTCGACATAGGGATAGTGATCCGGCGACGGCATTAGCTAACTTCTTAAAAGCTTTATATTTTAGAAGGCGGAAGGTCTGGATGCTTCATACTTTGTATATGGATGCCTCATGTTACGAAGTTTCCGTCAGTCACATGTCCAATGTCCTTGACCTCATTTTCATGGTTCAGTGACTACTTGAAAAAAAAGTTAAGATTTTTTGTAATGTTGAATTCTCTCTTATTATAAGTAATAGGATAACTATATTTGGTATGTGCATACCTTGCAAGGTCCTCATGCCTGTCAGACAGTTTTCACTTGACCTCGACCTCATTTCATGGATCAGTGAACAAGGTTAAGTTTTGGTGGTCAAGTCCATATCTCAGATACTATAAGCAATAGGTCTAGTATATTCGGTGTATGGAAGGACTGTAAGGTGTACATGTCCAACTGGCAGGTGTCATCTGATCTTGACCTCATTTTCATGGTTCAGTGGTTATAGTTAAGTTTTTGTGTTTTGGTCTGTTTTTCTTATACTGTATGCAATAGGTCTACTATATTTGGTGTATGGAATGATTGTAAGGTGTACATGTCTAGCTGGCAGGTGTCATCTGACCTTGACCTCATTTTCACGGTTCAGTGGTCAAAGTTAAGTTTTTGAGTTTTGTCTTTTTTTCTAATACTACCGGTATATGCAATAGTTCAACTATATTTGGTGTATGGAAATATTTTATGATCTATATGTCAGTCACACAGGTTTTTTTTTTACCTTGACCTCATTTTCAAGGTTCATTGCTCAGTTTTAAGTTTTTGTGTTTTGGTCTGTTTTTCTTAAACTATAAGCAATAGGTCAACTATATTTGTTGTATGGAAGAATTGTTAGCTGTACATGCCTGCCTAGCATGGTTCATCTGACCTTGACCTCATTTTCTTGGTTCATTGGTCAATGTTTAGTTTACTTGGTTAATGTTAAGTTTATGTGACAGTTGTAATAAAGCTTCATATTTAGGACTATCAACATTATATCAATGATTAGTAAAGAAGGCGAGACATTTCAGCGTGTGCACTCTTGTTTCATTCATAAATTACTTTATATTTGGAAATATAATTTTGCTTGGAGTTATAGTTTCTAAAAAAAGTATTGTCATTGAAAGAGTTGACATGTTGCAATGTACATTTATTCTACATAGTTCTATGGTACCAAATCAAAAGCTTATATTAAAGAAAGAAGTCAAAGGTTTCCCATCATAGTTTAGTTACATACATTTTTTTTGTACCTGAGGTCGTTGAATATAGATCATTATATAAATAAGGAGATGTGTTATGATTGCCAATGAAACAACTATCATCCATACATTGTACTTACCAGTAACAAACCACATTTGCAAAGTTGAATAAAATACAGTTGATAAAATTTACTTATTACTTAAAAGAAAATGCCAAACTATTTTAAACAGTATTTGACTATAAACATAGATAAAAAAGGTACAAACTGGACATAATGCACTAGTTCATAAACAAGTGAGAACAATCGCCTTCATATAGTGCTCAGAATATGACATTCATAAAACTTGTTCAATATCATTAGAGAACTCTAAATCTTAAATACTGAAAGCCACCTCTGATAAGTACAATGTACTATGCAAGATAATGATATAACTGGACTAAAAATACACACAACCTGTAATTAACTGCCTTTATAGCGCTTTTGCGCTTTGATTGGAAAAAGAGGGGGGGAGGTTAAAAAAAAATTGGGGGGGGGAACAATTTTTCTCCTCAATATTTCAGTAATCAAAAAGAAAATCCTTCAAATTTTTTTTTTGGAAAAAAGGGGGGGGGGGGGGGGGTTAACTCGCAACAGCATAGTGTGTAGCACAAAAGCAAAAAATTGAATATAAATTCAAATCATATAACCAATTCTAAGTTCTTTGACTACAGTTATTCTGTGTCAGAAACCTATTATGTGTCAAATATTGAATTACAATCCAAATTCAGACCTGTATCAAGCGCGAATATTGTGTCCATTTTTGCCCCAACTGTTCAGGGTTGGACCTCTGTGGTCATATCCAACTGCGCTCAGCGAAGCAATTTATTTGTATAGCTTTAGATGCATTTTAAGTGGAATTGGCCACTTGCATGCTAATTGATTACCACAGGATAGTAAATGCTGTTATATAAACATTGCTGTTACAAAACTACTGTAAAATTATGTCTATTATTTTAATATATATTCTCTTTACAGAAAATGATGGAAGACCCTGCATTAAGTTCAACAAGACAACAGAGAGGGACAATAGATTCCAGAGACAAATTCTCAACCAATCTTCATCACATGTTAGGCAAGTGTTATGTCCATTTTACTGGTCATCATAGAAATATTTCTGTCACACTTTTCTCATGTATATCTTAATATAATGACTTCATATTTGGTCAGCAGCTTGACAGTGCTGAGTTTTATTTGTGAGCACTTTTTAGATCTGCCAGACACCTACTTCTTGTTTTTCTTGTTTAACTGAATTACCCATGGGTTATGTTAAGCATGACAACCTTTGCAACTTGGTGTCTAACTACAATCTTCATCTTACATACCTTAAATTTACCCTAAGTATGATAACCATTATCTTGATGGTTTAATGTGACGTCTGTTTTCTCTGAACTAGTACACATTTTTGTTTAGGGGCCAGCTGAAGCCCACCTCCTAGTGCGGGATTTTCTCGCTGTGTTGAAGACCCATTGGTGGCCTTGGGCTGTTTTCTGCTCTTTAGTCGGGTTTTTGGAAAATCTGACACATTCCCAATTTCCATTCTCTATTTTATTAGCTTAAACTTCAAGTAAGTAGACCTTCTGAACAACTTTCATTTGAATTATTGGAATACTTAAGTTGGCCATGACTGGGTGTCAACCCCCTGCCATTTTTCAGAAAGTAATAAACAGTTTGGTATACAGATGTATCTTGGAGTGAGTGACTTTGTACCATAAGATGAAGGTTACTTGACAGCTATTTTATGGTTCAATGACTTAAATAAAACTTTCGGATTTCATCGACTTAAAGTTTTACATCCATGTGTAGATCTCAGATTATGTAACCTGTAACTATATAACTTAGATTTATTTTGGGGAATATAGCAGCTTTCCTAAGTTGATTTGTATTAAGTTAAAGACTCATTACTTAGTGTCCACCATTCTAAGTTGAAAACTCATTAATTAGTGGTCACATTTTGGTGACAACCATTCTAAGTTGAATTGGATTTTGATAGGACTTGATTAGCACATAAAGTCTATTAAGCCAATTGTCAGATGGGGCAAATTTTATGATCGTAATTACCTATGTTTACAAATGTAAGATCTTTTGTGAGGAAAAATGATATCTTATTGTTTTATTGTAAACTGGTTATATTCTAGGTTCTGAAGATAGAGAGGAGAAGAAGCATCTATTTTTAACATTTAACAGTCTTGTACAGGGAGCAGATAAATTAAGACAGAAATTTTCATCAATGAAGATCAATAAAATAGCATTGGAAGAAAAACAAGAGGACAAATTAAAACAGTTGTAAGATTATTATAATGGCTGGTAGTTTGATTAACCTTTAATAAGGCACTACTCCCAACTAATTATTTTTATTCTTTTGAAAAAAGACTTACTGAAAAAGATGAAACTTAATTAATAATGTGATGCTGTTTTAAAAAAAGAAGAGATATTACACAAACCATGGCAGTGGATTATTCTGACAGAGGTTGTAATAACCATTTAAATGGAAGTGAAGCTGTGGTAATACTATTAATTATGTCTTTCTGTTTTTTATCTGGGGTTGCACTTTATAAAGGCAACTACTCTTGATCTAATGACTAGATTTTAATTAGTCTATACATAATACCTGATGCCATTATGCTCGTCCAATTTAATTTTTTGGTTTTAATGATTTGTGTTGTTTCCTTTACCAAAACATGGACTATATCCACAAAAGGGAGTAGAAATCTATTCGCTACAATTTCTCTTAAGTTAAACCATGCCTGACTTCAAAATATTTCTAACTTAAAACTGTTGTATCTCTTTTTAAAACAAATTTGTTCTTAAATTTTTTGGGGTGATTCGCAGCAAGAAATATATTTTGCCATATCTGTATACCAGGGAACAAGGTAAGTTTCTGGTTTATATTGAGAATTAATACTTTTTTCCAAGAACATTTACAATTTGGAAGGTCATTGAATAAGTATATATTTTTAACACACCAGAAGTAGAAACATTTCTGATATAACAAGAGACATTCTAACAATCTCTTGTATGAACTTTATAGAGAAAAGAGTTTACAGATCAGTGAGCAGGTTGTGTACTCTGGTTCTAGTACAACCAGTGGACAGCCGTGTATGACACCCAGGCAGCTGATGGAATCTATGACACAACTGGAGGAAATGTTAAGGAAATTAGAACAGTCTATAAAGGAAGTGGTTAAAGATCTAGAGAAAAGGAAACAGGTAGATTGTTTATGTACAAGTTTAAATAATGTATCATTATCAAATGAGTTATATATTACTAACTTCCTTCACCAGAATCCACAGTATTGATTTTGTTTTATAGGATTTTGACAGTATGAGAATTAATTTTCATTATAAAAACAAAATGCTTGAAAATTTGTATGTGAGCTTCTCTTATTTTATTTTGTTAAAATGCTGGAACACTTTTAATATTGAGTGAATGAACTTGAAACATTTTTAACCTATGTTATTTAAAGTGTTGAGTCAGCAACGATTAAATGTTACAGATATTTTTTTTAATTTCAAACCAGTATTATTTTATAATAGACAAATGATTCATTATTTAACTTTGACTTCTTTGTTTATTGATCCCACACTCATCATTTCAAATCTTTTTCATTAAAACATTTTCACAGAAACTTATTTGTACAAACAATTAGATGTTTAATTTCTTAACTGTGACAGTAATTTTTGTGGAGGATAATGCACTAGATCTTAAGTACTTAATGATATTGTGTGCACCTCTCATTTTATTTGGGACCAAATGATTCAAGGTTTCTCATGGAGTTACCTAAATCTTCTAAGGGGAAAATCATCTTATATAGACTTATTTACACTTGTATGCCAATTTGTCCGCCATTAGGTAACACCACACACAAGTTCCCATAAACTTTGACATCACAATTAAAAAAGTTTGACGTCACAATTAAAAAGTGATTGTTGCTCGACGTCAGATGGTTATTCGGAGCAGATCTAAGGTCATTCTGAGACAAAATTCAGCTACATACTAAAAGTGTAAATACGTTTATTCACAACTCCCTCTTGTTTACTTACTGGATTTCATTTAAATATTCACAAAGTCTTTTTAGTATGATGCCTATGTGAATTTTCTATTTCCTTTTTTATCTGCATGATTTTTGCCATATATTGATAAATGGTAGACATCTTGTATCCAAACCACTGACCAGATTGCAATGAAAGTTTCACAGAATCCTCCTTTATAATGCAACTCTTTGGTTCCTGCTATACATCTTTATCCGACTATTTTTTTCGAGGTTCTGCTTATCAAATGATGACTCTGCCATATCTATACAAATTGTGGTGTTGAAAGTATGATTGTGTCATCTCTTTTCACTGTTTTTCTTATCTTAGTGAAAAAGAAGGGATATGTAGTATTAATTCATACAGTGCCTATGATCAAACAACATCTTACCCTGTACAAAAATATTAAATATGAACATGAATATTTTTATAATGTATTATTATATGATTACCGTTAAATTCGTTAAATAAGCCGCAGGTTTTTTTCTCTGTCATTGTCCCTGCGTGTTATACTCAGGTGCGCTTTATGTATGTATTTTTTTCAGTTTCAGGGCAAGCGTGAAAAAAAATATATATCTGTATTTTTTTTTATGGAGACCGTCAGATTGCCAAGTGCTTGCAGTGACTTGATAAATTGTTCATGTGGCATATTTTGTTATGAATAAAAATATATATACTTTATCATTTGTTCTTTATTTCATTGTTGGCTTACGGAGTTGATAACCATGTGTTTATTACATAAACAAAGAAAGATAACCGTGTTTGAAAGAGGTACCATACAGGATATTAATTGTGTATTTACAATAAATATGTAATTGTTTGTTGTTGTAATGTGTTTTTAAATAAAATCTTCTTTAGAAATAATAAAGGAAGTGATTGTGTTTCTTTCCAATATTTCAAGTCTCTTTTAATGACGATGGTGATAACCATGTGCTGAAATGAACCCTTTAAAGTGTTTCATAAACAAAGAAAGATAAGCGTGTTTGAAAAGAGGTACCATACAGGATATACTATTGAGGAGTAACTGCTTGTTGTTTTATTGTTTCAAAATGAAATATCTTTATGAAATATTGTAGCCACATATTGGTGTAAGAAATAAAAAAAATGAATATTAATTTTCATAATTCAATATGCTAAGACATTTATATATCGCCGTCTTATTTGAATTCCCCTTTCCGTGGCCCATCTCACTTTCAGTTAAAAATAGACAATGACTTGCAGAAACTGAATGGTTTTGTTGCAGTTTCAACCAAGTTTAAATTGAAAAATGTTTGTTACTTATAAAACTTAAACTTTTATTTTATAAACAACAATAAAATTCTTTAGATTTAATTTAATAATTTTTTTTCCGGACTTATGGGTGAACAGTTTTCACACGTGGGTACAGGTAATTAAGTAGGTCATAATCAAGGTAAACAATGGCAGTTTTATGGCTTGGGTAACTTTTAATGAATACCTTTTCAAGATTAATTAAAATCCTTGATTCCAATTCAAACAATAAATAAGCAATCAACACCGAACTAATTTTAATCAAAACAACAAGGTTCAATGGACACCCAAGCTGTCAACACATGGCCATTGTTGACAAAAAACAACTAATGAATCTGGCATGATTAAAACAATAAGAAAATTATAATAATTTTATTAACATTTATTTATTTTAATATGAAACAAATAAATATATACAAAATGTCTTTCAACTTTCTCAACAATCTGAAAATAAAAATGAAACATGTTACGGAGTGAGTTACAAGAAGGAGTGAACATTCATTACGCTAAGGTCAGTAGAATGCATGTACGTTTTTCTTCAGGGTGCGCTTTATATGCAGGTGCGTTTTATGTAAGGAAAAAAACAATCCTCACCCCCAAAAACGGCCGTGCGCCTTATTTAGGGGTGCGCTTTTTAATCCGCAAAATACGGTAATGTCATTAATATAATTTCTTTGTTGTTTTTCAGACATTAAGACATGATACCCTGTTATGCAAGGAAAGAAGATTGTTCTCCCACTTCTTCACCAATCCATCACAGCTGAACACATTGTTTGATGAACTGTCTTCCAGATTACAAGCTCAGAAACTTCATTGACCCATGTTGTCTCTTTATATTAAGCCATTTACATTTGTTATACATTAATATTTCAATAAATTCTTGAAAAAGGATATTGAAATGTGTTCAGCTTTTATGCAAAAAAGTTTGAAAGGTATCATGAAGATCTGGTTTTTAAGCATTGTAAAAATATTTTGTATAGGGACAAATACTGCAGCATTACAGACTAGCTTCCACAAGGAAAATTACAATCATATTGTTCTTCCAATTTCATTTACTGGACCATATTGAACTGGAGACTCTAAAGAGCCTGTTTCGCTCATCTAGGTCTATGTGCATCCTCAACAAGGGAGACTCTCCAACATTGTAGACTAGAATGTAATTCATAACTAAAATCTTTTTTATGTTGATCTTGTATTGTTGAACATTTTCTCTGTTTACAGTTTTCCTCTACCTTCTATAGTTTTTGCCTAAAACACAAAGAAGTGTTGAACTTGTCATTTAAGGGCAATAATGCCTATAAGAAGACATCTATGCTGACCTTTTTGCAGATCTTATCTTGCGGATCATATGTAAAATTGAGAATGGAAATGGGGAATATGTCAAAGAGACAACAACCCGACCAAAGAGCAATAGTAATGGCTCGACTCTGTCAACTTAAGCATCTCAAAAATATTTGAAAAATGGCTGCTATTCTATAAAAAATGCAATTTTTCAATTCATTTATGAGGAAAGTATTGATAGGAAGACTTCAGCATGCTGTTTAAGTGTTTATGATGTAAATAATTGCTAAAGTTGTGATGAGGTTAGTTCAGATGAACCACTAATGGTAAGTTAATGATATTCTGTATGCTGTCGTATAAGCTTGTTAAGGTAGATGGGGGTTCTAAATTAACACCCATAGAATTTTTTAATAATTTGTCAAAATGTAGTTCATATCATGTTTTTTTCTTCAAAAATATAATAAAAAGTATGTGTCACCAGGCTTTCTTTCACTCTACAGGTTGTGCAAAATTGTCAGATTTTGTATAGATTATGCATGGAAGACCCAATTTTGTGTGAAAAAAAGAAACCTACCGCATAGAATTTCTTGCTACATAATAAAATAGGTAAATTTACAACACATTTTATTATTAAAGTTACTTTATCTGAGTTATCTCCCCTTATGTGGCAAAGTTGTTTGTTTTTGAAATTTTGCCAGATTTTCAGAATCCTCTGGTTTTATCCATGCTTTGCCATTTAAAAATTTTGTCTTCTAACCCCTACTTTTCTTTTCATAATTTTATTTCATATAGTTTAAAAAACCATATTTGAAAATCTTATAAAATCCTTGTTATTTTTTCATTGTTTTTAAAAGAGAAAAGCGGCCAATGTTAAAAGTATGAAAAATCTAGAAAGACTCATTTCCCGCCAAATTTTAATTGGCTTATATCTCGAAAACAAGCACACAGACCCTTCATTTTTTTCTGCTTTTTTAGTTCCTTTATATACTATCATTTCATAACAGCCTATAGCGGGTTATTTTTCACGGAGTGTAAATTTTCGCTTATTTTTACCGCTAGAACAAAATCGTCAAAATAAATTCTGCCAATTTAAAAGTGAACATGCAATAGTATTGTATTAAAGTTTTAACCGCCATAATATTTTGTATATCTTATTCAATGAATATCGCAAGATTTTACATCAGCTAAAATAACTCGCTATACAGTATATTCTTACCTTCAGAGTACATAAGATAGTTTATTGTTGTTTTCAAAGTCATAATAATGTGTCCAATTATAATGATATGTCTTCCTGGGACTGTATATCTTCATTTTACTCTGCATGGTCAGTCTAGTAAGGGTATCATCATTTCACATGCAAATGCATTTTAATTAGCCTCTGGACATTAAACAATTATCAATCAGTGGACTTTTTGTGTAAGATTTACCTCAAATTCAAGCTGCATCGATTAGATATGGTTTGTTTATCTGAATGCTAAGAATAATAGAATAGTTGGTACAGATGAGTTATGCCGGATATGATATCAATGTCAGTGTGCCCAATATGATTCTGGGTTAATGGTGAGGACCAAAAACTTCAAAATAAACACCACATTTAAGGCAACTTATTTTTGTCTTATTTGACCTTGACCTTTACTCTGTAAAATTATCATACTATTGTGTTAGTAGACGGATTTTAAATTGTTTTTAAATTGTTCATTTCTTCCTGTTTTTTTTAGCCAGAACTCAGTTCATTAACGATGTGGAACTGTTTCTGGTAAGATTTCTGTAAACACTGTGTACTGATCTTTTTGTCTAATAATATGAATGATCCCATGTGGTTAACATCTAAAGATGACATAGATTGTATTTCCGATAGCTGAGAAAATATATCAATAGGTGTTGATGTTCCTTAGAAAAATACGAATGAGTAGGGATTTTGCTAACATCAACATGTGAATTGAGGGCGGTTTTTAAACCCAAGAAAGACGTGTGTTACCAAAGTGTATTGTGTGACCCCCATCCTGTGAAGCACACCAAACACATTCTAGAAATGGAACGATTTTTGTTCAAGCTAAATAAAAAATTAATTGTTAATGAAGAAGATCTTAACTGTCTTCCATATATTAAAAAAAAAATTTATGATAAGGAGTACTCCATGAAACCCTCTGGAGAAAAATTTAAGGTGCAATAGAAAGGTCTTGTGATTGCAATTTAGGATGTTGATGGTGCAAATTTGAACAAATGTAACGATATTTGAACAATTTATATAATATTCGAGATGCAGGACATGAGCCCAAGCAAAAAACAGTGTACTGGAAAAATGTTATCATTGCAGCTCAGAATATATATAGTTTAATGGTGAGGATCTGAAAGTTTTTGGTAATATAATTTTTTTTAAACAAGGGAGCTTGAAGTAACCCCAAGAGACAAATCATGGTGTATTACAAAGAGTTAATGAGACAACAACCCCAAAACACAAATTAAAAGACTTATACATGCGTCAATCACAAATAGAAGATGTAAATCATATAAAATCAACCTGTCATCTTGTTGCTGATGTTTGACTCATCTTGTTGCTGATGTTTGACTCATCTTGTTGCTGATGTTTGACTCATCTTGTTGCTGATGTTTGACTTCTGACTATACGTTTACAAGCCCATTTGACAGTTCTTTTTATAAAAGTCTAAAGCTTCAATTGAAACGATGGTATACTTTTTTATTCACCTCCTTGAACATGCTTATCTACACCATGACCTGTTGAAATTTTCTTAATTTCTGTACAATGATATGCCTATCTTCAAAATATTAGATATCTTCATGGAATGGATTTCGTTTTTCTTTTATCCTTTCTAACAACTATTCATACCAGAACTTCATATCTACTTAAACAAAATTTAGTTTTTAATTTACTTTGATTTTGATCTATCATAATAGATAAAATATATACATATATAATAGACATTTTTGCGTAAGCTGGTTGTCTGTTTTGCTTCCATACAAGTAGATGATATCTAACAGTTTGTAAGAAACGTGGACACACTCAAAATGATCAAACTGAAAAGAAATAACAAAAAAAAAAAAGGAATCAATAAGTTAAAGTAAATGAATTCCTCGATTTAAACCAGTTGATCGGTAAAGAAGAGTAAATCATTTCATGGATTTCAAATCTCGTGAGGAACGATGAAAATATTTATAAGTTCTGATATTGTTTTACAAGAATATTCTCATATTTTATCTATGATGAGTTTATTCTAAACCACTGGGTCGATACCACAGCTGGTGGAGGTTTCCTCGCCGATGATATCGCCAGCTTAGTAGTCAGCACTACAGTGTTAACATGAATGAATATTGATATGGTCAAAGTTATAAATTGATTATTTACAAAACTTACAAAAAAATAAGGATTTTCTACCCCAGGAATAGATTACTATAGCTAAACTTTTCGGAATATTCGACTTCAATTTTGTACTTGTGCAACATGCGCGTCAGGTCTATGACGAGTTAAATTATGAAAAGCTGTTTGACATCAAGATCAATGTAATATATATTAAGATTTTAAACCTATTCATTTAAGTCAACATAAAATATGTTATACAATACTGGGCTATAGTTTCTTACTAGGTTCTATTTTAAAATTTTACCATTGAAAGCTGTTGCAAGGACTATTGGAACAAAGTCAAATTAAGTTGTTGCACTATTTAGGTAAGTTCCAACTTGTTTCGCTTTTGGGATTTTTCTCACATTTTCACTATAGCTCAATCTTCCTATAACAAGGTAGGCTCTATAGATCAATAAGGCAACACATATTTACTGAATATATCTTTATATTCATTGAATAGTTTGCATCGTGTATATCTGCTACATAGCCTATCTTTTTCAATTGGTTTGTTAAAAATGTAAACTATTTGTTGATTTTTATTACCGGGTGTTTTCAAAGGTTCGATCATTATATTCATAAATCAACTAGACATACCCATTATCTAGGAGCTTTAACAAATGCTTGGTCAATATTGCATCAGCATAATCCTGATAACTTCCGCTAAGATTATCTGAATTTCATTGGCAATTTTAAGTTATACGTCTGACATTTTTTTAAAGTATATCTGAAATTGAAGATGGAACATAGATGAAACAATGACTATTAAAACGCTTGATAATACTAAGAGATGAGATATATTTACGCATGTCTCTTCCTCAACTACAATATCAAATTAATCAGTATGACTATATATGCGTGTTCTTGAAACTAGAATGAATAGTGTAGTTTGTTATCTTTGCATTTCAGAGTTTACGTTTGATTATTCAGGAAAAAGAAAACAAAAAGAAATAAAGCAATTAAATGTGAACTATTATTCGAAATGAATTGTTTTTACACCGGTAAATGGACAATGCGAATGCTTTATCCAACAGGCATATTTAGGGGCGTTAGTTCCAGACCACTGCAACAACAAATCATTAACTATAGGAACAGATTAGAAGAGTTAGAGACTCCAGTTTAAACCAAAGACGAGAAAATATATCTGCTAAAGGATCAAATATTAGATTGTAGTAAAGAAATGACTGCTGCAGCTCTCACGGAAAAGCTTGGGAGCAATATCATCATAGGAAATGCAAATATTCTATTAAATACGGACGGAAATACACATAAACTAAAAGAGAAGCTAAACTCCCTTATACAAATATGTAATGACGAGATCAAAGAAGTGGCAGAAATGCATGCTGAACAAACATGGAAAATGAAATAAACAGAGGTATGAGTATATATAAAAATAACTCATATGTGATTCATATATCATTATAAATATTAGTAATTCATAAAATTTGTAAACTAAAAGCACTATGAACAAAGGATTGACAATGTTTTTTATTATCTTTGGCTAATGCTGCAAATAACACTAAGTTTATGATGGTCGGAAAAAGGAGACAAAAATCCAACATAAACAGTTTTGATATTATATTGAAACATGTCGAAAATCGATAGTTTGATTTAAAAATCCTCTTTGATCACACATTTAAGAGAATAAAACGTTATAGGTTTTAATGAAAATACGCTTGTATTTTCTTCTTATTAGAAGTAATTTTATCCAAGTAATGTTACAATCCAGTTTAACACCTGGAAACAACCTTCAGTTTACATTTAGTTACTATAAACTTGGCCTTTGACATGATGACCTCAAAGTCAATAGGGGTCTTGCTCTTATTATGTGTGACCATCAACACCAAAAGCACAATTAAACTTGCACCTCCCTTGATACAATTACCAATTTGATAACAATTTAAAATAACATCAGAATGGAATACAAAGAAGTTGTAGGTATCTTTTCAGCAGTGGATTTAACTGGAGTGAACATGTGTCACTAGTAGTGGAGCAGGAAATCCGATCCTTACTCTTACCCGGTGTTCGGTTGGGTTGGGTTCATGTTGCTCAATCAGTAATTTTTTATAGTGTATTGTGGGCTGTTGTTTGTCTTTTCGAAAACTTTCCGTGTTGCCATGGATATTTCAGTTTTCTTCGACTAATGGTTTATGACTGCCCCTTCTTATCTCCTGAAACATTTTTTTTAATGTTACCACTTGGACGGTTTGACTCTCAATGAATTTCATGAATCAATCTTACACTCAGAAATTTCACATCTTATAGAATCTAACAGATGCTTGATTGATGTTTGCTTCCTTAATATCCAGTGACAAATACTTCATGCGCATTCTAGACGGAGTTAATAAAAGAAACACAATTTGAGAAAAAAGGTAATCAGTGATGGGAACAAATGAGAGACCTCAGTATACAAACTATATCAATAAGAATTCGTAAACGTAAACAATATTGCATCCATAAAACGTAATCGGAGTGCTCTTCTCCATATTAAAATGAACGTAAACATTTGATCTAAATGACCGGTAATCTTTAGAATGAACACGTTTGGCCTTTCAGCTTCTTTAATTTGAGCGTCACCGACAAGTCTTATAAAGACTTAACGCGCGTGTAGCGTAACACACTAAAGCCAGGTATCTTTGATGAGTTTCTATGCATTTGTTTAATGCTTTGTTTAATGCTTTGTTTAATGCTTTGTTTAATGCTTTGTTTAATGCAGGTTAACATGGTTGATTCAAATTTGTCGTTTCCTTCTGGATTTTTATTTTGTATTTGGTTTGTTGTGTTATTTTGAAAAATCATGAAATAATAAGGACGTTTTTAACCCAATCATTTGAACGCTAGGGATGTTTGAATATGTAGAGCCGTTAGCAGCTGTTATGTGACCAAAAGGGACACAAAAAGCATAGCCAAATTAATTTCAGATCAACTTTATTTGAGGATGTTGGAAAATTAGTTTCTGAATAATATTCTCATTTATCAACCGGAAAAAGGTATGATATAAATCATGTCAATACGAAAGCACTGACTGCTAAGCTGGTGATACCTTCGGAAACTGAGAGTCTACCAGCAGCAGTATTACCTCAGTGCTAGTAAACGAAAATACTATTGTATAAATTTCGTGTGTCCGAAGCTCTTTTCTGGATTTAATGCCCAAACTAGACATTTGATAGCAAGGGATGTTTTAATACTTAGAAACGTAACAATCACTATACAAATTCCTTAGGATTGTAAGATGACTAATTAGAAGTTTAAGCCATGTACATGTATCAGAAATGTATTTTTGTCATAAAAAAGAAAATAAGACATGTTTGAACTATTATTTGTTACCGACATTATGGAGATATTGGGTAAACTTCAACTAGATAGTAACCCACCAACACAAATAGAAAGAAGCATAGACGTCAATCACATATAAAATCAGCTGTTATATCTCTTTGCTAATGTTTGGCTTCCGACTAGACGTTTACTAAACTGGTCCGCCATTCAATCTAAATCTCCGCTCCGAAGGAAGTGTAGCGATGAGTTAAAACAGCAGGGGTCCGTAGACGTTTACAAGGCCATTACATTGTTATTAAAGCCTAAAGCTTCGAATGAAACGATGGTATTCTTTCGTATTTACCTCTTTGACTATTTTTAGATACATCGTGACCTGTTTTATTATATTTCTGTAGAATAATTTACATGTCTACACAATATTTGATATCTTCATGTGATGAATTACGATTTTCTATCCTTCATCATATCTCATCATTAAAGGACCTACATTAAACAAAAATTACTTTTAATTTCTATGATTTTGATCTTTGATAATGGATAAAATATGGATATAATTGATCTTTTGTGCTATCTTGCAATAAGATAATATATAACAGTTTCCAAGGAATGTGAACACATTATAATTGTTTAAACTGACAAATAATAACAATTCTATAATTATACAAAACTCCTGAAATGTAAAGGATTTTACAAAATCACTGATTTTGCAAAATTCACAGTAGCATTATATACTACGGAAGCCCATTTAGGACCTCCCAAAAATATATATTTGAAATCGAAATCACGAATTTAAATCATCATCACGAATTGAAGAATTCGTTATAATTAACAGATTAAATTCGTGATAACGAATTTCCGGAATTAGTTATAACAGTTTATGTAATTCGAAATAACGAATTAAATTCGTTATCACATTTTTTTGTAATTCGAGATATATAGATTCTACCACTGCATCGAGTGTGATACGATATTTATCCACTCGAGACAATTAAATTTTCAAATTTAAAACGCGAGGCTCGCCGAGCGTTTTAAATATTTAATATTTAACTGTCGCGAGTGGATAAATATCGTACGTATTACACGAGATTTGGTTGTGGAATCTGTTTCTCTAATGATTTTCAAACATTACGCAGGCAAATTTATTCCTTCTTTTCGAATGATCTGCAAAAAGATGTGTTCTTTCTATGTGACGTCATCAGGCATGGTCGCCTTTTTTCATGCCGTCACAATAGGAAATTCAGAGGAAAGCAAGAAAATTCGACGTCATAATCGGATTTTAACCAATGAAGAACTGAGATCAAACGAACCACACGTTGTTTAATTTTTTTTTATACAATGGGTGCAGAAAGGGATAAATTGACAAAGAATTAGAGAAAACGGATTACAATCGTAATAACGAATTTTATAAATCGTGAAAACGAATTGTATAAATCGTTATAACGGATCGAATTCGTTATCACAAATTCGTAGAATTTGTTATCACATTTTTTGGGTAATTCGTGATAACGGATTAAAATTGTTATAATGAATTTCATAAATAGTTATAACGGATTAAATTCGTTATCACAAATGCGTAGAAATAGTTATAACGAATTTAATCCGTTATCACAAATCATACAATTTGTTATAACGATTTTAAACCGTTATCACGAATTACAATAATCTGTGATAACGAATTTAATCAGTAATCACGAATTACAAAAAAAATGTGATAACAAATTACACAAATTCGTGAGAACGATTTTAATCCGTAATAACGAATTATAAAGTTCGTTATCACGAATTTAAAAAAATTGTGATAACGAATTTAATCCGTTATTACGAATAACAAAAACTGTTATAATAATTCCATAAATTCGTGATAACGAATTTAATCTGTGATAACGAATTCTAGAATTCGTGATACCAATTTAAATTATGATATCGAATAAAAATTATATTTTCGGGAGGTCCTAAATGGGCTTCCGTTATATACTTATGGTGGGTTCGTGTTGCTCAGTATTTAGTTTTCGTTGTTATGTCTTGTCATCGTTTTCGTTTTTTGCCATGACATTGTTAGTTCTTTTTCGACTTATGAGTTTGAATATCCCTTTGGTATCTTTCGCCTTTCTTTTACTGGAAAAGTTTCATTATACGAGACAATTCAAAGATTATAATGTCCTCATTGATATAAATAAAAGGAGACATGAAATATACGTTAATGAGACAGCAAACAAACGACACAAATGATCGAGACATATTTAGAACAACTTACGGTCATCAACTATAATTTATGTATTAGATATGAGTTTACTTTAATCAGGCCTAAAACATACAAATAAAATGTCATTTGACAAATACCAAGTACGTGACGAATGATTCAAATATTTATAAACTATGTCATTACTGATAAGTATATTTTAATATCAAAGGTTTTTGACAAACGTAAGAAGATCAATATATCTATATAAAGATTTAAACCCAATTGATTAAAATCAACAGAAAACATATTGTTCAATACTGGGCTATAGGTTTTAATTAGGTTCTATTATTAATGTTATTATTGAAAGCTGATGCAATGACTCTTTAAAGGGTAAATTTATTCCGCTTTTCGGGTCTCTCTCACATTTTCGTTATAACTCAATCTTTCCTCACTCAGTTAATATCTATAGATCAATAAGACGACATTTGTATAATTATCGATTATTTCTTTGTATTCAATGGACGTCTTGCCTTGCGTATATTCGCCACACATCCGTTCTTTTCCAATATGATATGTCTGAAATGTAAATTTTTAGGAGTAATAACACCATTGATTTTCCTCTATTAGTATATGGAAACAGCAAATAAAAAAAGAATGGTGCTTTTAAACACCATAAATATATTTTTATAACTCAGAAATGTTTTTTTTCTGCAATGAAATGCAGGGTTGATTTCCTACAACTGATAAAATCAAGGGGAATAATTTTTTCTACCCTTTTTCGTATGAAACAGGATGCGATGTACTATGATTTGGTGGTATTACACCTTTAGATACCTTTAGATACCATAAAACTTTTCAACGGTTCAATCATTGTACCCATTTATCAACTAAACTGAATTGTATCAAGGAGCTGTAAA